CTGGTATGTTAAACTTTTCCCAAATCCTGTACAAAGAAGAACAGTAACCTCTTTTCCCTTGATCAAATTCACCAAACATTCTCTTTGTTCCGGCTTTAAATCCTCGATCTCGGGAATCGTTGACAACACAGAATGTCTGACTCTTCACTGATTGGCTGGTGCCTGAACTCACACTTGTAGGTTTTTTGCAAACTGTCTAGTGTATTCTGATTCCTGATTTAGTCACTGGAGAGAAAGGAAATTGAGCGGAGGCACTAGGTAGCACCAGTCTGGCTACAACCTTACAGCCATTATTTGACTTTTCTGGTCACATAATGGTCTGATCCTTCTTGTTTCCATGGAGATGCTTTGAATGTTCCTTCTTATAGCATTTAACATATCTCTCTTGTATTTATTCAAGCAGGTGTCACCTTTCCACAGCTCTGACATGTAACTTGGCTTGGTCACCTGCCTCACCTGCTTGTCTCCATGGAGATAAGTGTATTGCCGATCTTTTTGCACTTGCACAATCACCACATAATCCTGGAATTTACCCAGACTAGACCAGGATTTGAGCAAATCTACACCATGACTCAAACTGAGACCAGACCAGGACTTAACCAGGACAATGTACAAAGCAGTAACCATGAAGACGAGCAAATGACGGACCCTCCACTAGAAAAGTTACGCAGTCCGCTTTTAAATCCCAGCAGCACTTACCTTGATGGAGTAGATGAGGGCGGCCAGGCCCAAGCAGCAGGGGTTATAGTAGAGGAAACACAAAAGAGACCAGATGATGTGGTCTTTAGGCACCTCCTGGGCCACGTTCACTGTCTTATGTTGGTCAACTGTTATCGCCTGTTCCCCCTCACTGTAGCACATGTTAACACGCAATGGAACGCTGTCAGAGTTCATTCTGTTGTTGCGATCGCTGTGTGACAGGAGAATCTGTAGTAGTTGCAGCAGCAGTAGTAGTAGTAGTAGTAGTATCTTCTGTCTCTGATGTAAGTGTGTGAGGGAGTACAGGAAGTGTTGTGAGTTTTTATCTGTTACACAAGCGTTTTTTTCAATTTCCTATTAAAGGGTTTGTTAGTCGCTTTAATACAAGTGAGCAACACAAAGCACCAGACCTGGAACCTGCTGAGGCTTGATTTCTTTCACAATTCTATTTTACATTATTCTTTGCTTGGTTAAACGTAATGAAAACATGAACTCATATTAACACCTCTGCTCAAAAATGAGCAGCATTAGTTTGATCTCATTGAGTGTTGTTCAGTAGTTTGGTCATCGGCCACTAAATTCCACTTGCACAGAACAGAGCAACTGGACTCTGCATCACTTCATGTTCTGTCATGGAGCAGTTCACATGGTTATGACTGACAGGACAACAGAGAATGAGCTGTAAACTTGCTCAGTTTTTAACAAAGTTACTGTCTCTGTGTGCCATTACAATGAGCTGACTCTGGCTACAGATCACCATGGTTACCAGAGCAGGCAGCGCTCATGCACTATGTCCTGCTTTTACTTAAAATCAGTGTCTGTGTTGTACACAGCTGGATCCATTTGGAATCATCTGTCTCTGTACTTAATACAAATTCAAAAAAAGTTAATTTTTAAAACTAAATTAAAGCAAATTATACTTTATAAAGAAATTGTAATTAAATGTTCAAATATATCGGGTGACAGATTTGTCACTTTTTTTATCTGTATGTGTAAACTGAATATATATATATACATACACATATATACATATATATATATATATATATATATATATATATATATATATATATATATATATATATACACACACACACACACACATATATACATATACATATATATATATATATATATATATATATATATATATTATATTTTATTTTATTATTTTTTTTTTTTTTAACTAACAGAAAGTGTGTTTGTGAAAAGTACAAAGTACATGTTTTTGTAATGTACTCCAGGTATAGTTATTGCTGCGGTAATGACTAATGGGGACCCAAAATAAATAAATAAATAAAACATGAAGTGCAGATTCAGACTGTGAGTTGCAGTGATAAAGGTGGCTGGGGTGAGTTATAATAAAAATAATAGTTCTTGCTGTTGTGGTTAGTAGTTCTACCAAAGCTAGTGCAGCTGAGTGTTCAAAATGAAACATATGAAACAGTCCAGTGCAGAATGAAACTGCAGCTAAAACTGAAAAACAGCAAAGTGTGTCTCCAAACAGTCACTTACACTTTGAGCAGGATTTTCTTTAGAATATATCTTTGTACCTAAAGTAGAAATAAATCCAATACCCACCATTATATTGTTCGCTTACAGTCATATCACCCTGAACACGGCCGAGCTCGTCTCTGACGCTGAGCAGGGCCGGGCCTGGTTAGAACTTGGATGGGAATCACACATGGGAATACCAGGTGCTGTAAACTTTTCATTCTGCAAAGGACTGTTTCATATGTTTTATTTTACTCCTTAAAAGCTGTTAAACATTCAGGTATCCTGGTTTTGATTTACAAAGTTAGTTAGACAAAAAAGGATGACAATATTAACCACAAGCGCAATAACTGTTCTTGTACCAGCCCGACCAGGATTATCACTGCACTGACAGGTCAAAAATAAGAGAATAAAAGAAGCACTGTTCATGTCTGTATGTATAAAGCGTAATAGGGATTCCATATTTTTCCCATTTATGCAGATTGGGCCTTAGTTTACCATGAGTTGTAGTATACTAATTGCAGCAGTAGAAGCCAACAAGTGAATTAATTATTTTTACTTTCTTTTATTTATTTTTTTACTTTTAACCTTATCCTCACAATTTGTTCTATTATTTGTGATGGAGTTCAATTAACAAAATCCAACAAACAGAACTCATGTAGAAAAGAGAAGGACAGCTCCCTCTTCTGGTCACATTGTAGTAGTGCAGTAAGTCACAGTAACAGTCATTTTCACAAAACAACATGACAAGGCCAATGTATTTCTTTTCACTCGTGTTTATCCACCTTATTCCTGAAGTTACTGTGGGCACTGCCATTATCATTCCAGTTGTATTATTTTGTGTGGGGCAGATGATCTTGACAACAAATAAGTGCAGTATATATGGACTACAGAGCTGTTTTAAAGCCCTCCAGAGAACTGGTGCAGTGTTTGTTGATCACATGAAACCTGAACATTTTACACAAATGAAGTGACTTTATGTCATGTTTAAGATGCAAAACTTTTCCCAAATTGTCCATTGACATGAATGGGATCTGAGTTTAACCAGAAACGCCACCACAAAAATGCGTGAATTAGGAATAAGGCGGATAAAAAATGTAATATTTATAGATAACAGTTAAAAGTTGAGAAGAAAGCTAAACGCTTACAACACCTGGTATTCCCGGGGAGTCTCCCATGCAAGTACTAACCGGGACTAACCAGGACTAACCCTGCTTAGATTCTGCTCAGAGTGGTATGGCCATAAACAAAAGACTGTGATATGGACACTGTTGTTATATCATCTTCATATACATTTAGGACTATGTTTAGAACTCTATTTAGTTTTAGACATGTGGAATAAGCAAAACCCTTTACCTGACTGTACTTGTATTACTGTGACTGTGGCTTATTACTACACTACTCCAGTGTGACCAGAAGAGGGAGCTGTCCTCTTACTTTTCTACACAGCTCTAGTGTTTAAAGTACGGGGTACACGAGTTCTGTTTGGTTTATATATATGTGTGTTTAATTTAATTTAACTCCATCAGGTACAACAGGCTGTAACATGGTTCAAAGTAATGAACAGAAAATATATAATAATAGAAATAATAAATAAATAAGAAGAAGAATGCCACTGCTGCAATTATTATTTCACTACTACATCTCACTTTAATGTAGAGCTGCACATACATATCATTAATCTAATCACAATAATCTGTATTTCTAAATCTTGTATGTGGACAGGAGGAGGGGGCACCAGGCTCTGAGTCAGATGAAGTCAGACTGGAATTAAAAAGGAGAGTGTGAGTGAAAGAACTTTGTGTTTTAAAGAAATAATTGTGTATGAAAACCAGGATACTTGAATGTTGTACAGCAGTAAAACTGAACACATCAAATTGTTCTCTGCAGAGTGAAAAAAAAAGCTATATACCTGGTATAGATGTTTACAGAGATCATAACATTTACATTCTAAAGAAATCCTGCTCTAAGTGTAAGTGAATATTTAGAGACACACTTTCTGGTTTTACTGTTTCTCACTTTTAGCTCCAGTTCAGCCCATTTATTTTTATTCTAGTCTTTTTTATTCTATGTATTGTTAAGGTAAAGGTTGAATCTTGTGGGGAAATGCATTCTTCACATTTGATCAAAGGCCAAAGTGTTTTGTTTCTCTCGTGTTTATAAAAATGTTATACTTATAGATTAAGATAGAATAGTTTGGGAAAAAAAGAAACAGAGAAAATGTATGGTATTCCCAGGTGGTCTCCAAGTACCAGGCCCAGCCCTGCTGAGCCTCCAAGAACAGATGAGATGGGGCACGTTCAGGGTGGTTTTCATGTGGCCTTACCAGCTTGTCAAAGTCTGATCCTAGGAGCTCAGCAGGACTGGACCTGGTTAGTACTCGGAAGGGAGACCGCTGGGAAAATCAGGTGCTACAGTGAAGTGCCAGCTGCAGAATCTGTCTTGTCCTTAAGCAACGCACTTCACCCACACTGCCTAGTGTGAAAGTGGTGTGTGTGTGTGTGTGTCTAGAATCATTTGGAGGTTTTCAGCCCTAGAACTGACAATCTACTAAAGGTAAAATCTACTAATCTACTAACAATCTACTAAAGGAAAAAAATGTTGTCAAGTCTCAAGTCCTAAAAATAGTGACTCAATTTAACAACATTAGAACATGGTTTACAGATTACAAGGGTCAGTTTTGGCTAATACAGGACCTTTCATGAGTAGAACATATATGAAAAAAAAAACACACACACACACAGAAGATTCTAGTGGTTACTTGTTTCTTTATCTACTAACCATGAAGTATTTGTTCCAACCCCCAGCTCCCTCCCATCCCACTTATCTGAGGAGAGACGTGCACTGGTCACACTGCTGAAGGTCTCCAGAAGAAGCAACATTCCAGCTCTAGCACTCTGACTCTTCTCGTCTTCTGTGAGTATTTCTGTCATTTACATTGAGCTATCGGCATGTTCTGTTTCATACAGCTATGATTAAAAAAGAAAGGAGACCCTGAACCATGATGAAGTTTCAAACAAAGTTCGACACCAGACAAACTCGAGAATCGAACGATTATGTGGTGTCAGTTTGGTTCCTCCCCCAGTGTTTGTGTTTCAGGACCCATAACTATTTTAAACAGTTATTGGTCGTTTTTTCTTTTTCTTTGTAGTAGTGCAGTACTACTGAACGCTGACCCTTCATTTTATTTGTATTGTGATTTTCATGCATCTTTCTTGTTGTATAAAACTCTGTCATGATTTTATGTACAAACTGTGCTCTCCAAATAAACTCGACTTTACCTTAAGTGATGTCATAACTGTACTAATAATGTACTAATGCCCAGTGTTGGGAAGGTGACTTTTAAAATGTATTCCCCTACAGATTACAGATTACATACATCTAAATGTAGTTTGTAACGGAATCCATTAAGTTACTTTAAGTCAGTAAAGTAATCTGAATACTTTGGATTACTTGATTTGCTGTAGAGAAGCAAAGACTCGGAAATCTTCACATAAGATGTTTTGTCTGCTAAAAGAAAATAAAAAGCCCAGACTTTACTGAACCAAATTAAAAATATTATTGATAGAAGAGGAGGAGACACGTCCACACAGCAGAATTTAGTCCTGTTAAATCCTGGTTTAGACCTGGTTTAGACCTGGTTTAGACCTGGTTTAGTGTCTGGTAATGAGTGAAATTACAGAGGAAAAAAAAAAAAAAAAGGGAATAGCCCAAAATGTGAAAACAGGAAAATACCACCGTGTAATCCATTTATTTCAACAAGTAACTGTAATCTAATTACCATCACACATGGAAACAGTAACTGTAACTGAATACAGTTACTCATAATTACCCAGAATAATGAAATTGAGTGTGTAATCAGGTGCAGTGTCAGCTGTAGTCTGTTAGTCAGAGATAAGAACTGAAAAACAGACCGTGTAACTATGTCAAGGCCTTGTGTGATGCTTAACAATAAAAGAGCTGTGGGGAGGACGAGAGCTTCAGTGCTAGGTTCAGTCAGTTTGCTCTCACACTCCTTGCTGCAAGTAAACCAACCACAGTGTCGTCTCTGGCTTGTTCTTTAATGATTGAGTCTTTGGGTTAATTCCCTGACAACAATGCAATGGAGAACAGAACCAAACTGAATAAAAAGGCATGTAAAGCAGACTTATTCCTGACAATAAATAGATCAATAAATAAATCCACACTGTGTCCAGCAGAGGACAGACAGATCTGGTTCTCCAAACACTACAAATCCTTGTAGTGTTACTACAAGGATAACCAGGACTTCCTTCAAAAGAAAAGGACAGGCCTCAGATCTCAGTTCAGTTCAGAATGTAGAAGAGAACGTAGGAAAGACCCGGAGCTGAACAAGAGGGACAATGCCCAAGAAGTTCTCCCTCTGTTCAAAACTGTGCCTGTCACTTGACGTGTTTTTATTCAAATATCTGTAGCCGGTTTGATTAGCAAAGCTTTCATATTTTTTTTCACATTTAAATATTTGCATTTTTGCAGACAATAGTCTTATTGATCGATTAGCCTTGATCTTTGAGCAGGGCCTGATATGATAAACACGTCTAATACAAGAAAGATGCATGAAAATCACAAAACAGGCAAAAAGCTGATTCCCCTGCTTTAGTCCTCAGTCTACTTGTGACCTTTATAATAGACTTTGGGAAAGACCAGATCAGAGGAGAGAAGAGATGGGCTAATAACATGTTTTTTTGTTTTGTCACTCACTGTGTTTGTGTTTGTAGAGGGACATGAAGCAGCACTGTTGTACCACGTGTGGAAAGAAGTGTCCCACAGCCTGGGAGCTGAAGAGGCACCAAACGGTGCACTCGTCAGAGAGGCCCTTCACATGTGACACGTGTGGGAGGTCATTCAAGACTGAGCAGGTCCTTAAACTGCACAAACTCACTCACTCTGGAGTACAGTTCAAATGTGGCCAGTGTGGGAATGTATTCATCAGCCAGTCCAAACTAAAGGCCCACCAGAGGTTTCACACGGGGGAAAACTTGTTTAGCTGTGACCTGTGTGACAAGCAGTTTGCAGTGAGATCTCGGCTGATTCATCACAGGCGCATTCACACAGGAGAGAAGCCCTTCACATGTGAGCAGTGTGGGAGGAGCTTCAGGGTGAAGAGCCACCTCACCCTGCACCAGAGGATCCACACTGGTGTCGGCCTCTTCAGCTGTGACCAGTGTGACAAGAAGTTTCCCACCAAACAGCAGCTCCAGGCCCACGGGCCTTTCCACACAAGAGAGAAGGCTTTTGAATGTGAGCTGTGTGGCAAGTCTTTCACAGCAAAATCCACATTATCAAACCATAGAAAGATACACACCGGAGAGAAGGCCTTCTCCTGCCACTTGTGTGGGGCATCATTCATCTTACAAGCTTCTCTAAAAATACATTCAGTCGTACACACACAAGAACGAAACTACACATGCAACCAATGTGGGAAAAGTTATGGACATTATTCACATTTAAAGAAACACAAACTCATTCACAAGGGAGAGAAGAATCACAAGTGTGATCAGTGTGGAAAGGCCTTTCTGAACCAGGAGAGATTAACCCGACACAAGCACATTCACAGCGGAGTACGCTTCCCGTGTGATGAGTGTGGAAAATGTCTTTCCAACTACGCCGAATTAAAAATCCATCAACAAAGACATTCAGGCAGTAATCTTCTCTTCTGTCAAACATGTGGCAAAGCATTTGTGAGACTAGATCGTTTAAAAAGACATGAGCTCTCCCATTCCACAGCTCGGCCTCACGTTTGTGACCAGTGTGGGAAAACATTCAAAAGGAAAGATGGCCTGGAAGCCCACATTCAAAACATTCACAATAAGAAAAGCTACGAGTGTGAGCAGTGCCACAAGACTTTCGTGTGGAAAAGCTTACTGAGACAGCATCAGAACGTGCACACAAAGGAAATCCAGTTCTCCTGTGACCAGTGTGGGAAAGAGTTTTATGAAAAGGCCAAGCTAAATAAACACATGGACTCCCACAAAACAGAGCGGCCTTTTACCTGTGACCTCTGTGGGGCGGCTTTCAAAACAAAAAGACATGAACAAATCCATCAGAAGGCGCACATAACAGAGAAGAACCACGTGTGTGATGTATGTGGCCGGGCGTTTGCTGACCTCTCATATTTGAAAAGACATAAAGTCATTCACATGGACAAACCTCATGGATGCAATCAGTGCAGAAAGACCTTCGCTCGACCTGAGGAGTTACAGTCTCACCTTCTAAGCCACGCTCAGACAAACTCAGAGGAGAAAATCATGCCTAAGCCAGTAGTGTGCGACCAGTGTGGGAGAGGATTCAAAACCAAGGCTTTGTACGCATACCACTATTACGTCCACACCAGGCACAAGCTGTTTCCATGCGACCAGTGTGACAGTGTCCTGTACACAGCCAAGGCTCTGAAGGCACATCTGCAGGCCCACGCTAAAGCACAGCAACAGAAAGGACCAGAAAACAAGAACACTCAAAACAAGATCAAACCTGGAGACAACTCTTTCACTTTAAAACGACTGGAAATCCGCCTGCACCGAATCCCAGACTCCCACTGAAGGTCTCATGCTCCAGCAGCCAAATAACAATGAGCTTCTGGAGGACTTTGACACATTTTGACATTTATTTGCAATGTTTTTAGTTGTGATTAAATAACGATACCAAAAGTAAGTAGTAATGCAGTAACTAAGTAGTAGTGTTTTACAGTTGATTTAGATTGATCTGAGATTGAGCTGATTTAAAACAAACTATAATAAAAAGTTTGTTTGTATGATTCTGTGGTGAACTGAATAATCACAATGACTGAACTGAATGCTATTATCATCATTACATGTAACTCACATTGTCCCAGTGCACATTATCCAAAATACAGCTTGAAAAAAACTTTACAAAGATGATAGTCTCTCTAATAGAAGGTTCACGTGTGTCTGTAAGTCTATATATAAAATAAAAATTCACTTATTTGGTTAACATATAAAAAAGGCAGAAGGATTTACTTAAGTGTTTCACCTCAGGTCTGTGATGTGGCGTTTGTGTAACATGTGGAATGGTGTGCAGGTCACCAGGACCTCTTGACTCCTCTATATTAACTCTTAGTCCTAGTTTTTGAAATGTTTACTGTCATGGAAAATTGTCTTTTTAAAATAATAAACATCTGTTGAAGCAGTAAAGTAATAGTTTTTTCATATCTTTTCAAAGAGAGACAGAGGACAAGTGTGTTCACTGCAGGGTTGAAACTCTGTGAAGCAGCATCAGACTTACAAAGCAAAGTATCCAAGGACAGTTACTCCCTGTAAGGAGGAACCGAGCTCTCCCCAAACAGGATGTGAAACAGACACACGAGAACTGTGAAAACGGCACGAAGAAGCGACAACGGTATTTTCCTATTACATTAACTTCAATCTTAAGTCTGGGGTATAACATCTCTGTATGCATAATCATACTTAGCATAGGGAAAGAAAACACTGTCAGGGACAGGCACTTTTATAATTCTGTTTTAATAAATCTGAGAGTATGATTCAAGACAACTTCAGTTCATTGTCTTCTTTCATTGTTTGCTTGTAGAAATCAAGAACAGTAGTGAGGCAAAAGTGAACAGAGTAGCTACAGGTCACCAGAAAGAACGGGGGGAGTGCCCTTAGGAGTGTGTGTTTACAGTGTTTATAATGTGTATCTGTGTGGGTGTGGATGTGTGGTGTGTGTGTGTGTGTGTGTGTGTGTGTGTGTGTGTGTGTGTGCGTGCATGCGTGTGTGTGCATATGTGTGTGTATGAAGGAGGATCTGGTGAGCAGAGTGTTATCTTGGTGAGTTCCCAGAGGGCCACAGGAACTCACAGTCCTGTCCTTGAGTCCGAGCAACAATGAACTCTGTAACTCTGTTGTGTTGTATGTGTGTGTAGTTTACTGCTATTCACCAGTAACTTCACCATTAATCCAGACATAAAAGTGTAAAGTAAAGCACATTGCCAAATACCTTGGGTCAATAAGGTCATATGACTAAAAGCCAGTTCCAGTTCACAAGAGCGTCTCCTTGGACACCGCTCACAACCTGCTGAGTCCACAGCATCCTCCCAATTACCTCCACAGGAGAACACATCACCTGACCCACATCCAACAGTGACACAAGCCCGAGGGGCTGCGAGCTGCACACCAGCACAAACACGAGCAGCACACAAGCAAGAGAAATTAAACGTTAAACATTGACATCTCCATGGAGAATGTTCCCCTGTATACCCCTGGAGACAAGCAGGTGACACTGCCAGGCCCATTTACAGGTCAGATCTGTGGAGAAGTGACATAAACTCAAGTTTCAAGAGGGCATTCAACATCCAACTTATTTTGGTTGTCGTTTGGTTGCTTTTTTATTTGAAAGGAGACAGACAGTGACAAATTACTTTTTTGTTTTTTATTTTTAAGATTTCCAATTAAATTAACATTTTCAGTTTATTTTTCACAGTGTTCAGCTATATATATGGTGACACTCATACACAAGCATGTAACATATGTACACATGTACATGTACACACTCATGCTTCACACTATGCACAAATGTACACTGTACACATACATTTTTCATATACATACTCGTGTATATATATACCAGTATACTACAAGTGTTAAATGTCAGACTGTGTGTGCAACAATGTAATGGCTTGGCAGATTTATATACTTTTAGATTTAATTTGTTTGCCATTTCAGTTGCACGTGCTACTCTTCAGCCTTTTGTATTAATACTCAGGTTAGTTATTCCCAGATTTAGTTAACTTCTTCCATCTGTTGTCATTTGGCATTTTTCCTCTTCACTGTGTTAATATCCAAACAACCAAACAAACAAAACAATGTCTTCAGAAAACCAAAATGAAAACAGCAAACCATCACAAGTAGAACTTTTAATTTCATATTAATTAAATTAACTATACTACCATTGATCAGGGGTCATGAAACTAAGGCCCACGGGCCGACTCTGGTCCTCCACGCTCCTTCCTCAAAAGTTGACATGGCCAATTTTTTAAAATTAATTTATGACAAATAATAACATGTCTGCATCTTGTATTTTGTGGATATTTTTTCAAAAATATATATATATTTATATGAAATATTTATATTTATATTGAAGAATATATCAAGTAATAAAGCTTCTTAGATGCACCACACACACATACCAAAACACTGAAATCATATATTTGTTTGAATACTGTTTTAATAAAGTCACACATTGAGCTGAACACTGTTTTAATGCTTAAACACTGAAATCATATTTCTGCTATAATAGAGCCTCTAAGGCAATGTTGTGTGTTCTGATTAACAAGAGGCAGTTGTGTACTTTGCAGGAAATCCTGTACAAGGATAAAGCACTCAGAGATGTCTCAGGTTGGAGTGGAGATGATTCAGGTTGGAGTGGAGATGTTTCGGGTTGGAGTGGAGATGTTTCGGGTTGGAGTGGAGATGTTTCGGGTTGGAGTGGAGATGTTTCGGGTTGGAGTGGAGATGTTTCGGGTTGGAGTGGAGATGTTTCGGGTTGGAGTTATCTGTGGAAAAACAGACCAGTATGAACTTTCATCTACTCACAGAAGTGAAAGCTGCTTGAAGGAGGAACTAAGGTGTGAATCTTATGGAGAGGCAGGAGTTCAGACTGCAATACAGAGTACTGTAGTAAAGTGCACTGTAGTGCAGAGTACTGCAATAAAGAGTACTGTAGTACAGAGTACTGTAGTACAGTTAAGCACTGCAAAATGGCTCATGTTGAGTATGAAAAGTTGACAGAGTGCTGAGTTTTCAAAGAACAGTGAAGGACAAATTATTTTTGTGTTCTGTGTGAGGAGCGTTCAGTTTGTCTGATATACAGAAAGTGTGGAGGTTTTTAAAGAATATACTATGCATTGTCAGGGTCATACAGTTCTGTTATTTGACCCTGACCATAGCCCCCAACACAGTCAGGAGCCAGAATGTGGCCCCCAGAGAAAAAAGTTTGGTGACTTCTGTCCTAGATCGATCTAAATCCAAAGACGTCATATCTACTCCAACAACAGTAAGAAAACCAACAACAATACAATAATTAAAACAAATGCTTCATGTCCAGGTTTGATGTTGAGCCTCTTGATCAGTTTGTATGTGATGTGTCAAAGCATGTCCACTCACTAATGAACAGGCATTAGAGTATTGACACTAATCCCATTTACACAGCCCAGCCCTGAGTGTCCCAGAGCGAACACACACTCTCCAAACTCATTTTAACAAACACTCCGTTCATAATGATCTTCCTCCTCTCCAACAGCGCTCTGCACCGTCAGGAGTCACACCTCTCCTGGGCTGATGGGTCCCTTGGGTGCACAGATTGACTGGATGAAAGAAGCCATTGAGCTGATCTGAGCTGCGACGTGATTGGCCGACAGCGCTCCCACCGTGGCTGCAGGTGCAAAGCTTAAACATAAGAGGATTGACTTTAAGAGGAAAGGATCAAAACTAGAATATAGTCATACAATAGAAATAAATGTACAAATATAGTTAGATATTACTCTGATTATGTCAAATACAGAAAAACAAACAATTGCAAACGCCTTTTTTCATTTTACATAAAGATTTAAGATTATATTGAGGCACTTTAATGTTCTAACCAATTGGTAACACAATTTTTTTTTTAGCAATTTTGGTTGAACATGGCGAATCAAAACAGTAAACACAGTAAAAGTAATCAGTTATGTGTTAGTAATGTTAGTATGATATCCTTCAGTCCCGCCCCCCCCCCCCCCCCCCCCCCGCGCTTTTGTACTTTTCTATCTCCGGGGGGCGGGGCCTATTTAAGCAGAAAGAAGCCACAACAAATCAATTAACACGCACCAGGCTCCACGCTCGCAGTACTTCACACATAACACTTCTCCACCTGTATACCGGTATGGGAAATAAAATAACCAGTGTCAATTTCGGTTGGATTTTCAACTCAAGAAGATGATCTGCTCCAAGGATTTTCCAAACTTTTCAATTTGATTTTTTTTTCTTTGCATTTTTAAAGGTAGCTATGATTTGTGAACAGTTCTTGTGAATAGTTGTGGTTGTTTTTTTATGTTACGAAAAAGAAAACACAGGAGAAACCTGAAGAGACTCTGCTGTGTAATTTTAGCGGCTGTAATCTGAGGGATTGGAGTGAACAGAGCTAAAAGGGGAGACGTGCTAATCTGGAACAAAGTCAGACCATTTCAAACAATGCTTTATTTGGACGGCTGAATATTTGGTGATTTGAATTTGAAGAGTCAGTTCACTTCATACTACAACGACATGTGGTGTGAAAGTAAAAAAAGAATTGGCATAGTACTGTACCCACTGGGCATATTTACAATGTATCTATGTAGAAACATTTAGTGTGTGAAATCTTCTAACAGTTATGATGAAATATTTGTCTGTAGTGTATAAATCACAGCTAGAATGACTCGATTACTTTTACATACTCTTGTCATTTGCTGTTTCTTCACTGTAGGCACCATGAAGTCTAGTCAGGTTTGATCGGGTTGTGCACAGTATTTACCTTTTACCTGCACAGTGGCACTTTTTGTTGTAGTTTAAGGGAAATTCGTATTTATTTAAAGCTCTCCCTGCTGTTTCTGTGCTTTTAAACCTTTGAAATGACAGTTGTTTTCTGCATACACCTCACAGAGTAACACAGGAGCATCATGATCCCCTCACATCCACAAGGTCCCAGCGCTGGACTCACCATGAGGAACAGGGCCAGGTGAGTTAGGATCAGAATGGAATATTTCATTACAATAACTCTTGCTATATACTAACTAAAACTATTCTAACTAGAAAAGCACTCAAAGAGCGCAGACCTCCGCCAAGGACTACCCCCATTTTTTATATAAATTGCGATAAAATCAGTCTTCTGGATCAGATCCGGATCAGCCTTTGGAATATGAAAGAGGATCCCATTATCCATCCCTGAGTCAAATTTCATGGGGTTTGGTCAATAATTAACCGAGATATTGAGAAACAAAATTTTTGGCCCCATTTACCAAAATGTTAACTAAAATTTCAAAGTGATCCAGAATCCAGGATTTCTTCCGGATCACCCCCAAAATGAAATCTGTTCTTCCTTTTCAACAAAAAAATTTCATGAAAATCGGTCCATAACTTTTTGAGTTATGTTGCTAACAGACAAACAAACAAACAAACAAACAAACAGACAAACGCCGGCAAAAACATAACCTCCTTGGCGGAGGTAATAATAACAGTATCACCTCACAATTTCATACATTATTCATTCACTCTGGTGGTACATTACTACTGTAACCACAAGGGGTGTACAAAAATATCAAAATATCAATATATCCTATTATTTAATGTGATGATACAATATCAATATTGTGGGCTGCTGTATCGATATATCGCCAAGAGTATTTTTTGGTATATTTTACTGAATAATTTTGTTCCATCTACAGTTTTGTTCTTTGTTCAGAGGAAGGAATCTCATTTATGCGACACATTTGACATTTGCACTGTTTTGATTATTAAAATGTTTGTGTTTCATATGAATTTTGCAGAAGAAGTGGTTTAACAAAAACTTTAAATATCACAGACATGATTCTATTTTTACTGAACCATATCGAATTGATTTCAAATATATTGTATTGAATATACAAAGTGCACTGTATCAAGATATGTATCGTATCGTGGCCTATGTATCCAGGTATGTATCGTATCGTGGCCTGTGTATCAACATATGTATCGTATCATTTCCTATGTATCGAGATATGTATCGTATCGTGGCCTATGTATCGAGATATGTATCGTATCGTGGCCTATGCATTGAAATATGTATTACGTATCGTGGCCTATGTATTGAAATATGTATCGTATCGTGGCCTATGTATTGAGGTATGTATTGTATTGGGGCCTGTGTATCGACATATGAAGATTCCAGCCCATGTAGCCACAGCTGCCCTGGCACAGACTGACAGAAGCGAGTCTGACCACCACCAGCACTCACTCACACACCGCACTCACTCACACACCGCACTCACTCACACAGCAGCACTCATTCACACGCTGCACTTACACACACGCCACACTCACTCACACACACCGCACTCACTCACACGCCGCACTCATTCACATGCCGCACTTACACACATGCCACACTCAGTCAAACGCCACATTCACATCACACGCCGCACTCACTCACACACACCGCACTCACTCACACTCACTCACACACACACAGCACTCACACACCAGCACTCATTCACACACCGCACTCACTCACACGCCGCACTCACTCACACGCCGCACTCACTCACACACCGCACTCACTCACACGCCGCACTAACTCACTCACACGCTGCACTAACTCACTCACACACCGCACTCACTCACACGCCGGAGTCACTCACACGCCGCACTCACTCACTCACACGCTGCACTCACTCACACGCCGCAGTCACTCACACACCAGCACTCATTCACACACCAGCTCGCATTCACACACCGCACTCACATCAGGCAGGACGGGAAATGTGTCTTTCCAAAGGAAGTACAGTTTGTTGATATTCCCAGTGATCTTACTTAATAGTATTAGGCCTATTTTAATTTTAGCAGATTCAGCCGAACATTCAGTAAAATATAAAGTCCAAAACAATGCGCAGTTCAGTGAGAGTTTAAAGGTTTGATCAAAAGGCCAGTACATGTACAAGCTGATTGACCTCGGTTCACACGGGATCTGAGCTCGTCTTATCTGTGGGGCATTCTTCAAACAGAATACTTTCACTAACTAAGACATTCAGTACATTTTAATTTTTACATCAATAATACAAAGAAATAATGACACACAATTTTTTCTATCACTGGTTTAGTTCAAGTTCAAGTTCAGTTTCTTTATTGTCATTGTCATATAAAATAACAATGAAATTACATAAGAGCATCATAGAGACAGCATAGTATTTTAAAAGTGCATAATAGTGTAGAGCACCCCCCTATGACACCCACCACGTAAACCAGGGGTGTCCAAACTTTTTTCATCAAGGCCACACTTCTAAACACAGACAAAGCAGAGGGTTGATTGAAGACCATAGACTGGTGCTCAATACAGTGAATAATTGAAATATGTGCAGGTTTAACATGTTAGAATGAATAAAAACTGATGTCTCATTCTAAGATCCTTAAAACCACATACTAAATATCAAATATTAGCTTTATCAATGTAGATTTTCAAAAAAAACTTGCAGTAAAAAGTATATTTTTAATTGATGCAAGGTAATTTGGGTCAATTCAACTGGCGCAAGGGTGAGGGCCAAGAATTTTTTTTCTGGGGACTGCATTTGTCCCACAGGCCATAGTTTGGACATGCCTGACATAAACATGACACCCACTATGTGAACATTAGAATATAGAACTAGTGATATCAGTGCAGCAGCAAAGGGGCAGATCAACAAATCACAACAAAACAACCAAAAGAACTGGGACATCAGGGACGAGGGACAACCAGTCAGTGTATGTGTATTTAAATAGATTTAAATAAATGTCCTGTTGCAGCAATGCAAATGTCCAGTTCACATTTATTGTACAGGGTGGATATGGTTTACTGACCATGGGGAGTCATTAAGAAGTTACCCATACGATACATACCTCAATACTTAGGCCACAATACAATACATATCTCATTGCATACGCCACAATACAAGACTTACCTCGATACACAGGCCACGGTACGATACATATCTCAATACAGTGCACTTTCTATTCAATACAATATATTTCAAATTGATTTGATATGGTTCAACAAAAAATAAAGTCTAAATCATGTCTGTGATAGTAAAAGTCTTTGTTAAACCACTTCTTGTGCAAATTTCATATAAAAAACAAACATTTTAATCATCAAAACAGTGAAAATGTCAAATGTGTCAAATAAACGAGTTTTCTTCATCTGAACAAACAACGAAACTGTAACAAAATAATTTAGTAAAATATACCATATATATATATATATATATATATATATATATATATATATATATATATATATATATATATATATATCGATACAGCAGCCCAAGATATCGATACCATATCATCACATTAAATTATACGAAATATGGATATTTTGATATTTTTACACACCCCTAGTGTTTCCTGTGTAATAGGACACAGTAAAACAACAATTACAGGTCACATTATCCAATCATGTTGCTCACAGGATTAGTAATAGTAGTTTGATCCAAGAGAACCACCTCCAAAAACATAAACTGATGCTAGTAATCAAGGTTCATAAAGATAAAACATACATTACATTACTACGAATGCAACAATCTTCCTTTACTTGATCAAAAGAGTGTCTGAATTAAGTGAACTTTTATTTTATTTTTGATTTGTTTCAGTGTGTCTCCTTGGCCTTTAGGCTCACAAAACACAAACTGCTCCAACAACAATGATGGGTAAGATCTGAGTTTCCCAAAATTATTTAACACATTGACTTGTCCTGATTTGTAGTGTGTGTAAATGTGTCATGTGTAAACGTGTAACTTCACTGCTGCTGGCCTATTCAGTTTAGAGCTCCCTCTGGCTGTTGATCTGTGTTACTACATGTACAGGAAAGAATCAGCATGTGTTTGATATTTCCAGCAAAAAAGATGAGAAAAAGGATGAAAAGAAAGACGAGAAAAAAGATGAGAAGAAAGATGAGAAAAAAGATGAGAAGAAAGATGAGAAGAAAGATGAGAAGAAAGACGAGAAAAAAGATGAGAAAAAGGATGATAAAAAGGATGATAAAAAAGATGACAAGAAGAAGGATGAGAAGAAAGAGGAACCGTGAGTACTGTTATGATCTGGATTTTTTCTTTTTTGCTCACAGTGAAATGACCTTTATGTTGTTCATGTTGCTCTTGTTAGGAAGGAGGTATGGATCATGGACCCTGCCACAGACATGTACTACTACTGGCTCGTCACCATCGCCATCCCCGTCTTCTACAACCTCATGCTGCTGGTGGCGAGGTAACTCCAGTGATACAACAAATATATCATTCTTTACAGAAGCACAGATTTCACACAAACACAATGGAATTATTATTTTTGGTATCTTTATTTTTAGCATAACAAAACATATATCTCAGAACATTACAGCATGTCATTTGAATATGTCTCTGAGATGTTATTTTAGACAGGGAAGAAATCATGTTTTTAAGGTAAATTACTATATAAAAAGTATTATAATTATACTATGGCAAACATTTACAATCTATTCCTTTCAAACGCATGTACATAGGTCTAAAATACAATGTTTTTTGCGGAGGGTGCTGGATTAGTACAACCATGATCCTTTGCTCTCATTGCAACTTACACGAAAAACATGTTGAAATTTTAAGTCTTGTCAGACATTTATCATTTCTACATGAATCATAATGTCACTGATATGAATAACGATGTCTTGGTTTTAGGGCTTGCTTTAATGAGCTCCAGCGCCAGAACACCACCATGTGGATGGTGCTGGACTACATCTCAGACCTGATCTACTACATCGACACTTTTGTCAGACTCAGGACTGGTGAGTAACTAATCATCTGAGAAATACCAGCGGTGTTTCCTGGCAGAGGCAGTGCGCAAATGTACAGTACCTCACCAGCCACTAGGGAGCATCCAAAGGTTGAATCCTGCTACAGTATTAGACTTTAACAGAAATGATTTGGACACAGGAGTCACACATCACAATATAATATAATAACAAAGAGAAAAATATAAATGATGATAATAAATTCTAAATAAGTAGCAAAACAAAAACAAAAAAAGCAAGAGACACGTGTCAAATAAAACATAATTATATAAATGTAAATGTACAAGTTAAAATTAAATTGAAAGATAAGTAATAAAATATAAAATCTAGCTTTATATAAGAGGTCACAGGAAGACAGAGCAACAATGACATGATGATTGACAGGACACAGGGTTATTTGTTCCATAAGGGTGAGTTGTTGTACAGTTGTAGGCAGTGTTGGGAGTAACGCGTTATAAAAGTAACGAATTACAGTAATGCATTGCTTTTTGCTGTAACGCAGTAATGTAAGGCATTATAGGGGAAAAAATTTTAATATTTTACTCGGTACAAATGTGAGTAACGCGCGTTACAATGCTTTTTTAACCTGGATCGAAGTGGTGTGTTTTTCTTCATACAAATTCGCTAAAATCACCGCTATATCAGCAGCGGGGAAACACCGGAGACGTGGCCGAGTAGACCTTCAGGTAACCGCGGGGAAAGGACCGACACAGAACTCTACGCTGTTTAGACCTGGCTTAGACCTGGGTCAGTTCTGGTTTAGACCTGGTTTACAGTCGTCCGAAGTGCTGTATGTTTGCAAGTTTTCTCTCCGACAAAACCCACAACGTCGACAAAACGTTCTGCACTGACAAAGGCTCCTGCGCTCGCACCCAAAAGGCAGAGGAAGATGCTCACCATCGCACAAAAAGTTGGACTTGTGGACAGGCTGAAGGAAGGTAGAAGTTACGTGCTGTAGCAGAGTCTTACACCAGGTCGGGTACCCGCAAATAGTTGCTGAAATCAGGGCCGCGAGCCCGCGGAGCACGGTGACCATAAAGCGCGATCGGGCGACAGTCGCTCTTACCTCCGTGAGGTGCGGAGCAGAGCCGCTCCTTTCTCCTGCGGTCACCTTCGAGCCCTTCCCTACAGTGAGTCCTGTTTTAGTCCTAGTTCAGTTCTGGTTTAGTCCTGGTTTTGTTCTGGTTTAGGTCTGGTTTAGTCCTGGTTTAGTCCTAGTTCAGTCCTGGTTTAGTTCTCCTCTTCAGTCCTGGAATCAGTCCGAGGTTAGTCCTGTTATAGTCCTGGTTCAGTCCTGGTTCAGCTCTGGTTTAGTCCTGGTTTAAACCTGGTTTAGACCTGGTTTAGTCCTGGTTCAGTCCATATACGGCGCAAAAGTTCAGCATCTTCGCAGTTATTTTGGTGAGAGTAACTTAAAGTAATGCAATAGTAATGTAATGCCTTACATTTTAAATGCAGTAATATTGTAATGTAACGAATTACTTTGAAATGACAGTAATAAGTAATAAATAACGCATTACGTTTTTAAAGTAACTTGCCCAACAGTGGTTGTAGGGAGTATTATCTGTTACATAAGGGAGAGTTGTCGTACAGTTGTAGGGAGTATTATCTGTTCCATAAGGGTGAGTTGTTGTACAGTTGTAGGGAGTATTATCTGTTACATAAGGGTGAGTTGTTGTACAGTTGTAGGGAGTATTATAGGCTGGTGCAGGGGGTGAGCAGAAGTGTTTGTGATGGAGAGGGGTTTGTTCAGTGTTACAGGCATTAAATGGGATACTTATGTGTTTAGAATTGACTTTATTTTGGTAATATACAAATTATGATTGAGTACTTTTTCAGCAAATACATGATAGAATAATAAACCTCACGCTTTATCTGGTGTTTTTACACAGTCTTGCACAGGACCCTCCAACAGCTAGAAAAATCTATTACTTCAGGATATATAAGTATCTATCCATATAAACCAGGGGTCTCTTTTACAAAATAAAAATACCAGAGAGCTACTCATTTCTGCAGTCACAAGGAAAATGAGTAAATACAGTCCCCTCCAAAAGTATTGAAACAGCAAAGCAAATTCCTTTATTTTTATTGTTCACTAAAGACATTTGGGTTTACAATCAAAAGAAGAGTATGAGACAAGAGGTCAGAATGTCAGCTATAATTCCCCGGTATTTACATCTAGATGTGTTAAACAACATAGTATATATCACAGTTTGCATTAGACCACAGTATTTTTAGGTGAGCAAAAGTAATAGGACAAAAAATCTTAAAGTAAATAAAATGTAATATTTGGTGACAAAACCCTAATTTACAATAACTGCCTTAAGCCTGAGACCCATCGACATCACCGTTGCACTGTTCATTTGTGGTGCTGTTCCAGGCTTTTATCGCAGTTTCCTTCAGTTCTTGTTTGTTTCGGGGTGTTTCTCTCTTCAGTCTCTTCTTCAGGAGGTGAAATGCATGTTCTATCTCTTATCTCATACTCTTCTTTTGATCTTAAACCCAAATGTCTTCAGTGAACAACAAAAATAAGAGAATTTGACTTGCTGTATTGACTCCAATACTTTTGGAGGGGACTCTATAAGAGCCACGACAAGTCTTCAATGGAGAACAGCTAGATGCTTATAAAACATAAGCCATTATCCAATTGTCGATACACCAAGTTAGCACCAAAATGAGACACTTACGATGGTAATTAATCAAATTTGACTTCTTATCCAGAATGCATAGAATTCAGAAATCCTTTGGTGAGCTACTTAGAAGAGGGTGGAGAGCTTCTGTAGCTCCCGAGCTACAGGTTGGAGACCTCTGATCTAAACAGATCTGAGCAATACGATAAAGTACGATACACTGAAAACATGGGAAAGGCTCATTGTCATTTACATACATTCCTCTCTTTCTTGTGTGTCTCAGGTTTTCTGGAGCAGGGCCTGCTCGTGAAAGACCCCAAGATCTTAAAGGAGAAGTACACAAAGACTCGTCAGTTCAAACTGGACGTCATCTCCATCATCCCCACGGACATTGTCTTCTTCTACCTGGGAGTGAACAATCCCGAGTGGAGGTTCAACCGACTGTTCCGCCTCTCACGCCTCTTTGAGTTCTTCGACCGCACCGAGACCAGGACCAACTTCCCCAACATCTTCCGAATCGCTAACCTCGTAGGTTACATCATCATCATTATCCACTGGAACGCTTGCCTCTATTTTGCCGTCTCCAAAGTGCTTGGGTTCGGGTCGGACACTTGGGTTTATCCAACCGCCAACAAAAACCCAGAATTCGGACGCCTAGCTAGACAGTACATCTATTGCTTCTATTGGTCGACACTAACCTTAACCACGATCGGTGAAACGCCTCCTCCAGTTCGTGACATTGAATATTTCTTCGTCGTGTGTGACTTTTTAACCGGCGTTCTCATTTTTGCTACGATTGTCGGTAACGTTGGTGCCATGATCTCCAACATGAGCGCAGCGCGTGTGGAATTCCAAGCGAAAATCGACGCTATAAAACAGTACATGCAGTTCCGTAAAGTTTCCAAAGAGTTAGAGCATCGAGTCGTAAAGTGGTTCGACTACTTGTGGACCGAGGAAAAAACATGCGACGAAAAGCTAGTCTTGAAAAATCTTCCAGACAAGCTGAAGGCTGAAATCGCCATTAATGTCCATCTCGAAACGCTAAAAAAAGTGCGGATTTTTCAAGATTGTGAAGCGGGGTTGTTAGTCGAGTTGGTTCTCAAACTTCAACCTCAAGTTTTTAGCCCGGGTGACTACATTTGTAAAAAGGGAGACATTGGAAGAGAAATGTATATCATAAAAGAAGGGAAGCTAGCTGTTGTAGCGGACGACGGTGTTACACAATTCGTCGTACTTAGCGATGGAGCGTACTTCGGAGAGATTAGCATCCTTGGAATCAAAGGGAGCAAGGCGGGAAACAGGAGAACCGCCAATATCCGAAGCGTTGGGTATTCCGACTTGTTTGCGTTGTCCAAGGAGGATCTCATGGACGCTCTGATTGAGTATCCGGACGCTAAATACGCTCTGGAGGATAAAGGGAGGGCCATTCTCATGAAGGATAACCTGATTGACGAGGCCCTAGTCTCAGCCACAGACGCTAAAGACCTGGAGGACAAAGTGAACCAGATGGAGGCCAGCGTGGACATCATGACACTGAAGCTGAAGAAGATGGTGGACAACTACGAGTCGTCGCAGAGGAAGCTCAAGCAGAGGCTGACCAACATGAGCAACCAGGTCCGCACGCTGCGCTCAGACATAGAGTTTTAACTCTGAGTGATGTGAGAGGACAGAGCGAGGACGCTTCAGAAGAGACATTCAAATACAAAGCTATAACATTTTGAACAAACACTATCTTTATTTCAGAATAAAATGTATGTGTTAATAAAAATCACACTCATAAAAGCTGATCACATAGCGAGCACTAAATAAAATATAACATTTATATAATAAAAATAATTATACTTATTTCTTTCACTGATGAAATAGAGCCTAGCTAACACATTTAACCCAGTTTTGCCCCAAGTTTATCACTTATGAGAATAAACACAACATTGTTATGAAGATTGTATTTTTTTTGTAATCTCAGTTCTTTCTCATTGGGGACAAGAACATGACTACTATGGGACTCCAGCACACGGTGCACCTGAACAGGTGGGAGTCAAAAAAACTGCTGCCTAAATCCATGTCCACTGGTCACTGAAGGATTTTCTTTCATTTCAACAGGATGTTACTTTGTACAATAAACTAATACCACAATACTGTTTTGTCATATTGATGTTTTGTGTAACAATAATGTCAACATCACATCACCAAATGTGTCAGTTCTCAGTTATTTTGGACTTTTGCAGGACCTTCACCAGGAGTGTCAAACTCATTTTGGTCCAGGGGCCGTATCCAAAAATAACAATAAGTTCAAATATTTGTGCAGAGAAACACAAATCTATTACAGAAATCTTTTTTTTATTGATGAACTCTTTCTTTAACAAAATATTATAATATTATGAACAACCTGAAACTTTAAGAAAAATGTAATTTCAACACAATGTTTTAACATGAACTTGTATGTAAATAGGAATAAATCAATTTTTGTTGTAAAATCCTGCACTCGGCTCCACTTTTCTCATGTTGGACATTTTTCTGATGAGGGTGTCACGGTCAACAGTCAAAACCATCGTCCTTTAAGAGCGTTTGGAAAGAGACAAGTCTTCATTTGTGCTGCTCTGGTGGGAGGGGCCACGTACAGAGACTTTGGAGACGCTGCTCTGCTAAGCACCGCACAAAATTAACAAGATTTTAATTGAAAATAAAATTAAAATATGTTAGTAGAAAATCAGCCGAGGGCCAGATTAAAGGTCTTGGAGGGCCGGATCTGGCCCCCAGGCTGTATGTTTGACACCCCTGACCTACACTAAGAAATACAATGAAGAAGGGAGATTTATTATTTTGACAGAAGATGACAGACATTTGCAAAACACTGATCCTAATGTTGATTCTGAAGTTCCTTGTTGGTTTCTGGGACCCTGTAGACTTACTTCTTGCTTAGGGGGACCAGATTTTAAAATAAAAAACTGGGACATCCCTGGTTTGTGGTGGTTGGCAATAATAAAATTATGAATAAACATTTTTTTTCTGCACTCGGCACTAATGTGAGTTTAGTTACATTTTCTTTGAGTTGTGATCATTTTTACTTTTCTGTATTTTACCTCACCATATGAGAAGTTATGTCTCTCTTTACTGTTGGCAGGGATGAGATTGGTCAAAAATACAGACACCTTGGACATTTCTTGTATAAAACTGGGACAAATCAGTTGTTTCAGATAAATCTGCTGGGACAGGGGACACAAGGCTTGGATGTCTGGTCACCCTATTCTTGCTAGAAATATCTGATGCTCAGGAGGTGTAAATGAGGTTGGAGTTCAGTTTACATTACACTTGATCATGAGGACAGAGAGACTTTAAAGTTACCATCTGTAATTAGACTGGTCAAACCAGCCCTGTGGTATTCACACACACACCACGAGATGCCATCCACATTACTTCTGTCTTGTGGGTAAAAAATAAAAATAGAACAGTTAAACTTACAAATTGTACCTTTTTTTCTCTCTGTATTTGATCCATACTTCTATAAGGTGTGGGACAATAACACAATTGGCCTATGTGGGGTGATCAGACGTCCCTATTGACCTAGGACAGTCCCAGTTTTGAGCCTGTGTCCCCTGTCCCAACAGATTTATACAAAACCAGTGATTTGTCTCATTTTTATACAAGAAATGTCCCATGTGTCTATATTTTTAACCAATCTGATCCCTGTCAACAGTAAAGATGGAATATATTGTCATTTGTTTAGCTAAAATACAGAATACTGAGCTTGAAAATGATCATAAGAAATAAAAAATGCATCGTCAGAAGTCCCTGAGATGAAGATTGACCCACAAAAGTAAGTTATGAATGGGAAATTAGTTACAGTTACGCTCTTTTCACAGTTTTCTTTATACCACCCATCCCAACCCGGGTGTGTCCCAGATTTGAACGTATAAAAAATCTGGTCCCCCTAAGCCTGAGCAGCGGGACATGCAGTAGGATTTGGAATTTCTGACAGATCTGGTTCAGATCAGGAGAAGGGCCGTGTCAAGCTTGAGGATTCTAGTTCACTGAGCATGTTTACAGTTCTTTTAAAAAAAAATAAAAAATTGACAAAACAAAACATCCATAAGGGCAGATCTGCACTGTAACATATTTCCAGGCATTAAGAAAGGGAAAAAAAATTATACAAATAAGTGGACGGTTGCATATATTAAAAAGTTATGTTGTGCTATTATATTTTTATAAGTGATCCAGGAAAGGTTGTCAAATCTTGTCATCACTGTCACCTCGGCAGATTTTCTACTAAAATATTTGAATTATATTTTCTATTAAAATATTGTTAATTTTCTGTGGTGTTTATCACAGCAGCGTCTCCAGTGTTTCTGTACGTGGCCCCTCCCACCAGAGCAGCACAAATGAAGACTTGTCTCTTTCCAAACGCTCTTAAAGGACGATCGTTTTGACTGTTGACCGTGACACTCTCATCAACAAAATGTCCAACATGAGAAAAGTGGAGCCGAGTGCAGGATTTTACAACAAAAATTGACTTATTCCTATTTACATACAAGTTCATGTTAAAACATTGTGTTGAAATTGCATTTTTCTTCAAGTTTCAGGTTGTTCATAATATTATATTTTGTAAAAGAAAGAGTTCATCAACTAAAAAAGATTTCTGTAATAGATTTGAGTTTCTCTGCACAAATATTTGAAATTATTGTTATTTCTGGGGTTTATATGACATGAGTTTTCTGATCCGGCCACTTTGGGATCAAAGTAGGTTGGATACGGCCCCTGGTCCAAAATCATACTGAATCTTCCCCATTTACAGTATATTAGTTATTGATTCAGTTAACCACATCATAAATTGAGGAACTGTATCAGTTTTCTATAAGGTTAATATCACTTTTTTTTGCAAATACCATTTCATATACCAGTGTGTTGTTCAGAGGAACTGGAGAGGAGAGAAAGAGAATTCCCAAACAAAGCCTCTAAAGAGTTTTTATACATACTTGAATACCAATTAAAACTATCATACCAGAATGTTTGAAGAATGTTTGAGAAGAATGTTTGGCCAATGGATCAGTGAGCCTTCTGCAAATTTACAATGTTCATATATCGGTGAAATGGAAGGAAAACGGTTATGCAATTTAGTTTTTGACAATGAACAGGGTGTCCCCAGGTTTGACTACCCCAAATTCAAGACTTTTTAAAGAGCTTTTTAAGACCACTTATATGAAAACAAAGACCAAGCCTGTGCAATACTTGGACTGGATTCATTGATGCCTCACATTTATTGAACAGGATTGGACCTTGGCTAGACACTCCTTCCAGAACTCAATTCTCTATCTGCAGCAGAGCTCCTCCTCCCAAGCATTCTTTATAGCACAAGTGTTCCTTCTTCAGAAAACAAAACAAAACAAAAAACAGAGACCAGTTTCCTTGAGTGTGGATGACTCAAAAGAAACTTATAAACTAATCAATGATTTGTAAATATGGATAAGTGTGAAATAGGCAGTGAAAACTTTAGTCCTTTTTCTTTAAATGAGAAGGAAGCAAATTGTTCATCAATGTATAAGTGTCTGAGAGTTATAAGACTCTTTTTGCCTCCAAAAATCAAATGAAGTATCTAGTAGGGATGGCAGGAAGGCATGGTTGTGATAAACTGGTGTATGTACAGAAATCATTGGTAAAGCACAACCTTTTTTTTTATTTGATTCAATATCGTTAGACAATTATGTTTACAGTTCAATGAAAGAGTAAAATAATGACAGACCTGACACGTTGGAAAAAGCAGTCATCTTTATTGAGCATGTTTTCACAACATTGAATACTTAGCGCCGTCCATCACTGTTCAAGAAGTCAAACCAACCAATCAACTGCTTCCCTTTGCCAGGTTGATCTTTGACCTTCACTAGGCTCTAGAGTCCTTTCACATGTCCGAGGTGTGTGCAGCATCTCGAGCGTCCGAAAATAATTAGAACCGAGGTACGACGTAATGCAAAAGAAAACCGTGGAAACTATGAACCTGGCTTTGTGGGAGTTATGGAGTATGCAGCCACATGCCAAACCCCGCTTACAAACGCAACGCACTACTGGCGCCATTGTGTACGATCCAGTGTCCGAGCGCAATCTGTGCTATCTCAAATCAAAAGGTTTAAATAAGCAACCCGACAAATAATGACAAAACGTAACCCCAGCCGAACAGAAAAACAAATCATGACAAAAATAAGTGCATTGATACAGAAAGAATGGCTCAGGGATTTGTGGTGTGAATTAGTGGCATGGTTGGAACCCCTTTTCGCTCAAAAAAAGTATTAGGTGCACCTGTTCTATTGTTATTCATGTCAAACTAACCAAGCATGACAAAAATGTAATTCATTTATTTTAAAAATGTAAAATCATGCCAAAACTAAAAAAAATGGCTGGTAAAGATTGTAATTCATTTGCAGAAAAAAAAAAATCAACTTGATAAATATGATTAGATTGTTGTAGTTAGAATAAGAACAGGTGGACTTAATATTTTCGGTGTCATGTTACTCCCAGAACCTGTAAAATGGATACACCGTAAAATTGTATTTTTACAGCACATTGTACAACTAGCTGCAACTCTAGGACTAAGCCACATTTGAATTACAGTAAATCGCTAACTGTAGTCATTCACCAATCAAGGCGTTACACACTTGAGAAGTTTGAGGACAGTTCACAACCAAAACACGGATTAGCTTGTAATTTTTAAACTCACCAACCACTCCAAATTTCTAAGCAGTAATTGAGTTTTGAGAAAAAAACAAACAGCCAAAAGTTGATTTAAAACAAACATTTAACAGATTTTTGATACACAACTGTTGTCATAAAAGTGTAATTTATGGCACAATTTGTTGCCATACAAAAAAACGCGTTGCTTTTTGACTCTTTTTCGTAAACCCAAATTCGTATGTGTTTAATGGAGTATTTTGTTACCATATTAATCACAAAATCTGGCTCCCATCTGCTTCTCCAAACTGGAATGACCATTATTACTACCTGTTCCTCAAAATGGACCTCCTCATTCTAGTGGTTGGCACTTGGAGAACTGTCTACACACAAACCACACGGGTCGATTATAGTTTGGTTGTTCCGTCAAACAGCAATACTGGTCTTTAATCCAGAAGAACACAGGAAGACATCAAATGCTTTGCGACAATCGCGGCAACCTGTGACCAAAAAACATTCGGAAAGAAATGTCTAAGTGCACTTTACACAGCTCAGATTGAGTCTCCTCCCCCGACACAAAGACAGCCGTTCAAGAACTGACTCGCGTTCACTAAAAACAAAGAAATGGTGCAAAATGGTAAACAAAAGATTCTAAACAACTCAAGGTCTACCGTGGCCAAGAAGTGCTTCAAAAATTTACTTTAGACACACTCACTTAAAGCTGCACCAAGGGACTTTTCTGGAGGAGTGTCGGCCTCCTGCTCGTCTCCGTGGAGATGTCAAAGCTTTGCCTGGGACTAGTAATAGTACTGCATTAAAATGTATCTCCATGGAGACAAGCAGGTTATGACACCAGGCCAAGTTACAGATCTGTGGAGAGGAGAGCCTGCTTACAGTAGGAATTCAAGGCATTTTAAGCACTAGAAAAGACCTGGAATTGAATAAATATAAATGACATTTAATGCTATACTGTGGAGCATTCCAGGCAAAGCAATAACCTTTTCATAGGGACAAGCAGGTGGTAGACGCTCAACTAGAAAAGTTATAGTGCAGCTTTAACTTACAGAAACAAAACTGAACAAAAAATGAGCAGTGAGCATATGTATTTAGACAATTATAGTTTTAATTGCTTGATGATTTTAAGGGTCTAAAATTAAATGCCCATTAAACAGTCCAACTGCATCACTTCTCCCAAATCACTCATTGCAATAACTGTATTGAAACAAACAGCTTCTCTGCCCAGGTTATGGTTGTCAATGTGACAAAAATTATGCTTTGCCTCTATAAAAAAGCTTTTCAAAACCTAATAAGTTTGAAAAGGGCGTCCAAGGGTTAAACTCTTACGGTATTTAAGGAAAACCTGCCTTTTGGCTTCAGTTTGGAGTAATACAGCTAATTTTGACCAGTTCTAATAAAATAAAAAGCAAAGTTGCACTTTTGTTGTGTGTGGGCAGACAATTTTAGCGTAGCTCTGAGATTCACATTTCCTACATTATTATTTGTTTCGATGGCACACCAATAGCTACTAGGGCGTATTTTCTGGCACCTCCTGGCCACCGTAGAAGGGGCTACGTAGTGAGATGGTACTGCGTGCTCAAATGGACACTCCACTCTCTCCACAGTGTACCCGAACAGAGACAGAAACATGGCTAATAAATAATCCTGTAATGACGCTGTACAGAGCGGCGCGGGCACATTCAGAGTGTGGGAGCGCGCCTTGGATCTGTGCTTCACACCGCTGAGGGGGACAGGCGCCGTACGACCGCTCCTTCTGCTGCACTCCCATTGGTCGCTCTGTGGCTGGTAAAGGGCTGAGGGCGGGGCCAGAGGTTCTCATGTTGTGGGCGGGGCGGGTGGAGTTGGAGGGGCGGGGTGGGGGCGGGGCTCAGAGCATACCAAACCCTTTGGCATAGGTAATGGCTTTCAGCAGTCTCTCCCTCAGCTTCTCTTTGCTGCTGTACTCGGGCAGCAGGAGCACGTTGAAGCAGGTGTGGGACGTGGGTAACCTGCACAAACACAAATATTTGCATTTTTAATTAAAGACTCTCATGAGCTTTTCGTCATGTTATAATTAGGGATGCAACAATGTGGTTTTCCCATGATTTGATACGTGTGTACATGGTCAAGATATCAATTTGATTTTGATACATTTTAAGATGTGAAAAAAAAAAAAAAATCTCATGTTATGTAACACTATCATGTTAATGAAACTTTACATACATACATACATTACACACAATACTAGGAATGGGCATTCAATTACATTTTCTTTTTAAATTTTTGATCGTCTGGAGAATTAAAGATTGATTTTTGATTAATCATTAATGTTTTTATATTAAAATTATCATCATTATTATTATTATTACTATCTGCACTGCTAATCTGCATAAATAAACTCAGCTTTATGATATATAAACCATAACCACTCTAGAGCCACATCAGCCCGTTTGACATTAGAATGTGTTTAATGCAGCTTTGTGGAAGAAAAACTTAAAACCACATGGCTCATTTGCATAAATTAAGCGAAGAAAAAAAAACAGCTCATGCGCGCTGACACGGTTCAACTTCTGTCGCATTAAAGGACACGACTCCGTGGAATACAGGTTGAACATATTTGGCTTTGTCAAAACCAGGACACCGTTTTGACCCCCCGATGGGAGTTGGGGCCTCATCATCGACATTGAGCTACTCTCACCTGCAAAGCTTTTTAATGTTTTTCGGTGTCCTGGTGCTTTGAGGTCCCTGGCACCCTCTCTGGACACTGAAACATATGTGCTGCTTTACACACTGTGAACATGGACTCACACTTGTCCCGACCGGGATGGAAAGCGAGGAATTTCTTGTACAAGTCATTGTTAAATGCGCATTTGTGCTTCGGCACAAATGCGCCGACTGACCGACTGTTTGTGTCTGCTCGCTCCTTCTGATGCACAGAGAACTACAAGAGCCGCTCAGTTTAATGACCCAATGAAAGATCATGAAAACCCAGACATTTCAATCACTTTATATAAGAAAACCCAGATGGCCAGGACAGGACGTGGCAAACGGACATGTCCGGCAAAAAACAGACGTTTGGTCACCCAGCAACTTACATTCGGTTTGTTGATTAAAAATGAACGTAATCGACGAAATTCTTAATGATCAATTATCAATTAATCGACTAATCATACCCATCCCTACACAATACATTACAGTACAACTACTGTAAAACTTCATATGTGAAGTGTTTTAGTTAATTTGGTTCAATGATCTACAGTTTTCTGTAGAGTTTCTCAGGCTGTTTTATATTTTATAATAAGCCAGTCTTCTCTTAATATGGACTGTAGGGGAGTTACACTATCAGACTTTTACTTCTTTGATAATGATTTGATGATTTCTTTTCCTCACTGCCTCACATGTCTGTGTCCACTGCTCCACCCCCTCCAGCACAGACAGTATGTAGCTCCTCCCACACTGCCCCCTACAGTCTGTGACACACTGTGCTCTCCCCTCCTCTTTCTGGACACTGAAGTATTTAAAAGTTAATATCGTTGTCATTTCTGGGTGTATCAACGTAAAATAAAAATGAGTGAAATATAAAACCCTCCTCTGTTAGAATGCGGCTGGAAGTCTCTATGGAGCTGTTTTCTGCTGCACCTGATAACGGTTTCTTTTTTGGACCAAAATAAATGTCAATACAGTGTACGTGTAGGGACACGTGCATATCGACATGTACTGAACAAACACGTGTATTGAATCATGACACCATTATCAAACAATTCAATATTATATCGAATATCGTTGCATCCCTATTTATAATGTTGCTGCCACCTCAAAAACAGACCTGGAGTTGAATTTTGTTTCATTCACACAAGTTTTTAGTAGTTTAGTAGTAGCAAATGAGACGGAGCTCTGGAGCACGTCTCGTTCTTTCGGAAACAAATCACTCTGAAGCACTGCCTCGGAGCTCGTCTCGCAGTAGCCGCTCACGTGACCAAAGTGTGGAAGTGTCGGTCCCTCCCCCTACTGCTTCGCTCTGCGTGTCAATCGCTTCAGTGTATCGAAGTGTTTCATTGGCTCAGCGAATGTTCCGCTCTGTGATTGGTTCAGAGTGCTTCAGAGTGTTCAGCGCACTTCCGTGGTTTGACAAGTGCTAAACTGCTACAGTATAAAAGATGCACCAATATTTGTTAAAAATGTTGGGACTTTTGGCATTTGTTTCATTTTCGATGGCATCTACAAGTGGAAAAAAGCGATCCATGGTTTGGGATCACTTGGATCTAATTCCACCTAACAAGGTAAACTATTTTCTTATTTACAGCATGTTATTTATGTTGATCTTTACATATTATTTTAAATCATCATTATTATTGTTGTTGTTGTTAGGTACGGTGTCGCTCTGCACACAAGTATTGTCTTAAACTAATAATACTTCATCGATGCTGAGACACCTGCGTGACAATGGTTAAATTTGTCCACTACAGGTCAGTGTTTGTCCAAGGCCTCAGACACGTCCAACCATTTGAGACAATATTGCGACTGAGGTGTCAATGCTTCAAGAGGCTCCACTCGCCCATCACTAGTTTTAAGTAATCTTGCATCATTAGTAGAGCGCTGGTTTAGTCCTTTTTCAGTCCTGGTTCAGTTCTAGTTTAGTCCTTCTTTAGACCTGCCTTAGAAGTGCTTTAGTCCTATGACATATCATGTAAAGAGGCAGAATAACAATAAATGTTGCTTAAATAAACCCATTTTAAAATCCACCAGAGCCAAACCTAAGTTTTTTAAATAATTCAAGATTTACAGTGAATTTTTACATCACTAAATATATCGGCGATTATATCGGCTATTGGCAGCTCCAACTCCCATTATATCAGTATCATATCGGCCACAACAAAATCCATATCGGTCGGGCTCTAATCATTAGTCTGTCTGCTTCTCCAAAGATCTGTTGCTCTGATGCTCTTTTCCACCTTGTGATGTCATGTAGAGGTCGTTCTGAAGTTAAGAGCTACTTTTTATCTTTTGTTCAGTAGGAATAGGCAATTCTAGGGATGAAATTATCCAAATGAATTGAGTGAGTTTAAAAAGAGGAAAAAGAAAAAAGTGGAACAAGGTGTTTTCTGTTTAAAAGAAGAACTCAGCTTAAAATATCCAGGATTTGTGTGTTAAACATGTGTGAATGAAACAAAACACAACTCCAGCTGTGTTTCTGATGAGGAAATAAGGTAATATAGATGATCAAATGGCTTAAGAGCAGTGTATGTGCTCTGACCTGTCTGTGTCTGGGCCGTTCTTGGCGATGATCATCTTGAGTTTGCCCAGGCCTCCCACAGGGGCTCTGTCTGTGCCAGTGGTGAACTGGAGGAACAGGCGCTTCTGCTCCTCTCCAAACGAGTGCAGCGTCTCCCAGAACTCCCTGTAGCCATGGAAACACAAGTCACCATCTGCATCGGTACCCAAAAACATTTCTGACATCGCATCTTTTCTGGATCCAAACTTGATAGCGACTAATTAGTGCCATGATTTTTTTTATTTTTTTTTTTTTGAGGGAAATAAATATTTTTTACAGTACTTTGATCATTTTGCCAGTAGCAGACTCCTGGCTGAGGGCGGCGAGTCTCTAAACCCACACACAACATCATCTGCAGAGCATCTCTGTGTCTAACATGTGACATATCCCATTTAATGATTCAAAATGTTTTATGTTTGCGCTCTTAAGATTTCACTAGAACAAAATATTCTAGAATTTGGTTGCTTTTTCTTGACATGGATCTTCTATGGCCAATAGTCATTTCATTGTGATATTTAGAGTATTTGTAGCAACAGATCATGCTAAACAAAATAGTGACAGGCCTAAGAAACACATTTTCCAGAGCAAGAATAATTCTGCCTGGAAAAGTTAATCTTGACAGGAGGAACAACCCAGATCAATTATTTTTTGAGACTACTTACTTAATAATCCTTGAATCTCTATTATAACCGCCATCGTATTCTGTCGTTTCTTCAAGTGCTAGAAAGTCGAGGTTCTGCGGAGAAAGGGCCAGTGAACAGATGAGAACAATACAAATGCACTCATGCTTTAAGTAGATTTGACTCTTACCCGGCTCCCACAGATGAGCAGCTCGATCTCCTCCGGTCTGAATAAGTACTTGAGCGGTGATTCGTTGGTGACCATATGGAAACCTCTCCTGAAGGCTTTGAACTGTTTCTCTACACTTTTGTTCAGTATATAGTCTGCGTACTGGGACACAAACTCCTGCAAAGAAAAATGGTAACAGTTAAGGCACAGTCTTACGCTTGGCTTAACAGATAAAAGTAGAGACTATCAGGCCAAGTTATAGGTCAAATCTGTGGAGATCTGTTAAGTAGTTATTTTTTAGCAATAAAAACAGCCAAAGAAATAAAAATATCAATGAGATCCCGTTAAAACAAGATCTTCATAACCAATTTAGGTAAATCAGTTTCCAATTTTGTGAGCAATGTTTTCTATGCTAATTTAGTACGAATGAAACTTGTTAAACTGGATGAATATTAAGTAACACCAAGTGAACACATGCTTGAATAGCTCTCCTCACCTTTCTGTTGTCATTGGTTACAGGGATCTTGTCCCCGTTTTCCCTTAGGTTGTACATGAGGGCGTTCCCAAACAGATCCGTCTGAGAGATCTGAAAGGTGATCATCATATCGTCCTCCACACTGCCCTCGTACTCCAGCAGCTCCTTCAGACTCTGGTGCAAAACCTACAAGCGCACAGTATAATCCCTGAGAGGTCTTTATCAATATTTATTACATGATCTACCAACTGTTCAATAGACCTGCCCTACTTCTTATGCCAAGATGAGAAACTGACTCACATGAGATAATGGTAATCAAAATGTAATCAGTTAAGTCAATGTCATTTTACTTTCAACCCCACCTATGATCACTGCATGCACATTTTCCATTGTATATAATGTTGTATGCACTTCTACTTGTGTGAAAACAAATATAAATGTGTGACTCAGAGCCTTTACCACAAAAATCAATGAAATGATCAGTGCAGCTAGAACTGATTTCATTTTATGCAAAACGCAGAGCAGTTTTGGATCATATAGCGTTCTCATATTTATTAGTAGGAAAATTTAGAATAGTGATATGAACTCAAACAGGTTCTACTTCTTACCTGATTTGCGTCATGTCAGTTGGTCTTATTTGATATACAGGAATATGGACCTAAGAAACCTCCTAACCAGATTTGCGTCAGCCATGTCAGCTGGTCTAATATGATATTTAAGAACAGTGATATGACCTCCAATATGTCTTGTGTCCACTTGACATGTCATCGTGTCTGACATGTCAGGTGGTCTTATTTGATATCATAAAACAGTGATGTGGCTCTAAAAATGTCTCCTTACCGGATTTGCGTCGGCCAGGTCCCTGAAGGTGCCTTTCTTGCCCATGAGCTTCCTGTAGACCACCATAGGGAAGTGCACGTCTAGGATGCAGTTATTGTAAATGGCCAGGCCCAGCACAATGCCAATCAGAGTGTACTGGCCCTCATTCTCGAAAGACGATGAGTTGAACCAGAAGAGCCGCGTGCGCTCCTCGTACGTGAACATGCCTGAGTCACAGATACCATGATTAGAAGTGGTAACACTGTACCGTAGTAATGCAGTAGTAGCGTATTCTGACCGATGTCTGGGTTGAAGATCTCCTCCACCACCAGCTGAAAGAACTCTTTGGAGACGCCTCCTTCATCTACGCCTTGTTCTCCTTCAAACTCTACGTAGAGCTGCTTCTTCAAGTCTGCAGGATTCTCCATGGCGATCATCTCCAACTATGCACCGCACACATACCATTTCACTTCATGTGATTTGGAAACATTACAGGCATAAAATTGCCCAAACACACCAAAATAGTTTACTGCTAGCTCCTCACCTGTGATGTCAATATCCAACATAAGGATGAAGGAATGTCACATTTTAGTAATATTACCTTTTTATAATAGAATACAGAAAAGTAAAAAACATTTTTGCATGACTTCAACTAGGGCTGGACAGTTTTTAGAAATTTAGTTCCGAAATGGCATGGAAATCTTTCAAAAATGTAGGATTTCTTTGTAATAAATCATATGAAACAGAAAATTCACACTAAAATTCATGTAGAGGTGCAAATGCAAGGAACAGCAAAATAAAAGTGAAAAATGCATAGCACACTCAGAGGGCCAATGTCTAAAAGCTTTTTTTATTTTTATAAATAACGTTTCGGCAAAAAAAGCCTTCGTTTATTTAAAAATTTTAAAAAGCTTTTAGACATCGGTCATCTGAGTGTGCTATGCATTTTTTCACTTTTATTTCATGTAGTAAATTGTGCCTGCAAATGTTTAGATGTTAAATGACTAAATGTTTAGTATAATATAGTATACCAAACTTGGACTGTAAAAAGACAAACATTGTACCTTACACCCTTATTTGAAAGATTACACTTTAGGTTACTGGATCTTTAAACATCTTGTGTGATATGCTAAATTCGTATTAAGTAGAACAACAAATGCAGCAATATCATTTTCTATACAGCTCCCACTTTGACAGAACTGGGTATATTGTTGTTTGCAACCTGTCACAGTTCACCCTCACCCTACACAGGTAAAATAGCTTTACAGACAAATAATTAGAAGTAGAAAATGTGAAATAAACACTGTGCCTACCCGGACCAGAGCGTCGTCGATGATGTGGTCTCTGCGCACTTTGAGTCGCAGGTACGGGTTGAGCTGCTGACCCTGCACCAGACTGTACAGTACAGTGATCCGCCTCTCACTGTACATGCGGATCCGGTTGTCGTAGTACAGGCCCAGGTTCTTGGTAACAGCGTTGAGGATGAAGGGGCATGTCATGAAGGAGAATTTGTTCTCCGTTTCCACCTTAAAGAAAGTATAGTCCTTGTCCATCTCCAGCACTTCGTTCAAGGGCTCGTTGATGAACTCTTCAAAGGGCACTAGCGGCCGCCTGCAGTCGTTGGTGCGGATGCCTAGCTCTGTTTCCAGCGGGTCAACCCTAGGGCCCTTCTTGTTCCTTCTCTCTTCCCCTAGCAGCTCTTGTAAGGTCAGCTCACTCGACTCTGGGATAGGCTCTTCGTCCTCTTCCTCGTTATGTTCCACGTCCAGATCTCCACCCAGCACATTTGCATAGTACACCATCTTCAAGCACTTGGTCGCTGCCACCACAGCGTCGTCGTCGTTCACCAGGTTGCGACTGTTGAACTCGTTGCTGATGACTTTGTAAGTGATGAGCTGCTGAAAGGTCTCCACCATGCGCCGGATCTGCTCGGCCGTGTAGTGGGACCAGAGGCGCGCTAGCTTGGCCTGCGCCGCTAGTGGGAGTTTGCTCATAGCTTTGCAGAACTGTGGCAAGGCGATCTCCAGGTACTCTGGGCTGTGGAGGTTGCTGTTCTCCATGACTATTACAAACAAGTTCAGGTAGTTGGGGTCTCGGGAGTAGACGTTGTGGTAGGTCAGGTCGCACTCCACGTTGGGCGAGAGGTAGACCAGTGCGTTGAGGAAGGCGGCCTCGATCTTCTCATTGGACAGCAGGCGCTCGTACACCCGCCGCACCGCCTCGATGTCCACAGAGACCTCGTCCGGACCCAGCTTCTGTGCCTCTCCATCCCCGAGACGTGATGAAGAGGAGGAGGAGGCAGAGGGAGAGTCTTCCTCCATGGCCACCGCAGAGCACGCCGCAGCCGCCTCCTTCTCGTCTTCGTCCTTGTCCTCGTCCTTGCCTTGGAGGGACTTGAGCTCCTCCTTGGTGTGGGGTTTGGAGCGGCGGAAGCTCTGCACCAGCCCCTCAGCGCTGGAGAAGACCCGGCCGATGACTCGGATAAGAGGAGAGTAGTCCTCCTTCTCTCCGCAGATGTCCAGGATCTCATAGACTTTCTCCTCAGTCAGGTATGTGATCTCTGAACACAGAAATAAAGAAGAAGACTTAAAAAAACATGCAAGAAACAATTTATGACACACTTGTGAAAATGTGAAGGTGTATAATTATTTGACTCCAACAATGGCAAATTAATATTTATTTATTTTAACTGTTCTACAAAAAGAAACGCATCATATGTTGTAGTAAAGGCAAGCTGCAAAATATTCATAACAGTACATTAAATGTTCGAAGGAACAATATATTTTTGGGCTCAATATTTATTTATTTATTTATATTTTCTATTTCAAAAATATTTACTGTGATTATCCTGCTTTATTATAATTGAGTCAGTGTCAGTATCGTTTATATATATATATAGTGGCAAAATATCATGCTTCAAAATTTGTTATCGTGACAGGTCTAATTACATGAACTCCATTGTTAAGTGACTGTTGGACTATCACTTGTCCATGTTTAAATGGGAGCAATGATTTTATCAAAATGCAAAAAGCAGAGAAGAGGTGGGGCTCACTTCCATACATGTAAGTACTGAAACAAGGGACAGAAAATGGCACAGCTTACTTGACAATTAAAACACATTTGTACATTGTAAGTAATCCATTTCATTTCCAGTCCCAGCTTGTCTTAAATTGGGATAAGCGTGTAGTGGGGGTTGGACAAAGCTTAACCATAACACAGCTCTGCACCAAGAGTAGAAACAACATTAATATGTATCTGTACACAAGTTTGAGCTTGTTTGAGAGAACATCGTCTCTTAGAATTATCTCTGGTCTGAGTAAAATCAAAATTATATAGCTATGACACATTCAAACACAAAAGAAATTCAAACACAAAGCCAGACTTGGCAACTATACACTACATGAGTATTAAATTAGCTGCAGTGCCTTTACAAATTTTCACCTGCTCTACATATTCTGCAGAAGACACCCACCTTTGAAATTGTCCCTGACCGAGTGGTTGTCCTTGTTGTTCATCTTGCTGTTGCCGTCCTGGTTGCCGTGCGTCTCCAGGTAGGTGGACGCGGTGCCCTTCTTAGATGGGTGGGGGTCACAGAGTTTGGCGTTGACTTTGTAAAGCTCCAGAGCTTTGACGGCCGCCGCGTTGTTGTCCATGCGACTGAACCCCAGCGAGGACGCGCACCACGAGTTGGAGCACGACTCATTCCCACAGCCCTCTGTTAACTGGTGGTAGTAGCGCTCTATGAGGTGCTTGGCGGCTGCTCGCTTCCTGTGGACATACAAAGAAGAGAAATTATATGAATTTATAAATTGGATTTTTGAGAATCAAGAAATCTAATAATCCTACAAATGTTTGCTCAGATTTTAACTCTGATGTATTAATGCCAAATCCAGATTTTGCCAGCATCTTATCCCTCTCACAATTAGATTTTTGTAGTTAAATCAGATTGAGGTTAGAGAATAGTTACCGCTTTATCACATTTCCTTATTTAACAATGCTTGGCATGGTCTTCCTATAATATGCATTCAGAAACATTAAAAATACAACTATCAAATTTAAACACAGTGCAACTGGCAATTGTAAAAAGTACTAATACTTAATCACGTTTTGTGATTCTTATATTTGTTGCTGAAGTTGGATGGTGAAGTTAGAACTTGGATCACAAGTATATACTGTAATAAGTGAGTTTATAGGACTATGCAACTATACAAATCACATCATTCAATCTTCAAGGTTACGCCAGTTATAAATCAAAATTGTAATTCAATTTATTAGAGCAACTTATCTCTGTAAGTAGTAGTTCAACATACTAATTTCTCAACTATTTGGTTTACTTCACAAAGTGAAAGTAACAGTAGTAAGATCACCTGCAATGTAGCTAACAAGTCTCCATGCATGGAAATAATACTGTGTTGAACGTTCAGATTTAGAAATATAAGATGCTTAACAATAAGCAATAGTACTGATTGACTATCAATACAATCCTTAATATCTTGACAAGTGGTAATAAAGTTGTCATCTCTGGTTATAAACAAAACAGGAAGTGAGACTTTGACATATGAAAACATTTATGGTACTACTTACATTCGGCTTGCTTCTGGGTTTTCGTTTTCAGACTCCTCGTTTTCTCTACAAGCATAAAAACCAATCAATGTGATGTACTGTCATAAGGCATAGGAGGTACTTTGACTATGTTAAATTAAAAGTAGACTATTTTATTGCATCACTATTTCCTAGAAATGCACGAAAGAATCTAGTCAATGTAGCAAGGGCATATCAGGCTGCAGCAGATGATGTCAAGAGGTAGACACCCAGACGCTCAACTGGCTAATATCTCCCATTCTTGTAATAAATTAACAATAGTTTTGAATCAATAGTGACATCAATTTGAAGCTACATTCTTAAACACAGTTCCATGCAAGCTTATAACGTTACTTAAAGTCAATGCTAACTAAAATGACAGAGCAATGACAGCCCCGGCTGCTAAAATTCGGCTAGCTCCCCTGCGTAGCCTTTCTCCGCAGAGGCCCCGAATCCCCGGCCTTTCCTGCGCGGTTGCCCACCTTGCGTCTCCTCTCGCAGGGCTAAGCTGGGCCTGTGGTGGCGCACACTCACAGTCCTCCTTCTCGTCGGAATTCATACGACTTTATCCTCTGGTGTTGTTTTTTGGGGGGGGGGGAGGACTCCGTTGCTGCGTGTGCACGTATCGGTCGCTGTTCGGGTAAACTCCAGGAGAGCGGGGGGCTTGGATGATCCGCGACGGGTTTACGGTTAAAAACTTCATTCGCGGCGGCCTTGTGCTTGTGCAGGCTCTTCGCCCCGTCTCAGGTGCACAGCCATCTTGACTACAGCAGCAGCCCACGGCCCACAATGCAGCGCGGGGACCACAAGAGCCCGGCGCCTGTCACTTCTGGGCCCGGAGCGGATTCGCTGGACTGGAGTCAGCACCATAGACACTGTACATTATTATTCTGTTAGAAAGTCTGAGAGCTTAATTTGATCTTAACTTGCCAGAGTGTGAAACTGAGAAAAAATTACTTCAGAGTTTATGTTTTGCCCAGACAAAAGTATAGTAGGTAGGGTTTCCAAAATTTGATAATAAAGACATATTTGTATGCAAAAAATATTGAGCTCAAAATTAAGCCTTATTTGTCAGTTCTGTTCTCAGTCTTTGAATCATGAGTCAAAAAGGAGTCGTGCAAAGGCAAAAGGCAGAAAATGACATGATCATTATCTGCTTTTGCCCAGACTTCCATCCATTATAAGAAAAACACCTCATCAATATCCAGTCATCATAGTGTTTGTTTGAAATGACATAGAAGAGCTTTGGACTTTCTGTTTAGTGCTGATCAGGATCGTGCAGCAACACTTACACAGTTAAACAGTTAAAAAGTGACTTTGCAGTATAGTCAGTGTTGGGAAGGTTACTTTTAAAATGTAATCCCCTACAGATTACAGATTACACACCCCAAAATGTAGTTTGTAACGTAATCCATTAAATTACTTAAAGTGAGTAACGTAATCTGATTACTTTGGATTACTTGATATTGTCATGTTTTTTTAAACGACATGAATGTAGCAACCACATCCTGAAAATTCTTGTTTGTTGTCTTCAAATTGTCTGAGCCCAAGTCTCCATGAATAAGCAACTGTTTGCTGTAGAGAAACAAAGACCACGATATCTTAATATAAGAGGTTTTGTCTGTTAAAAGACAGTAACAAGATAAGCCTTTCCTTCACCATATAAAAAAATATTATTGATAGAGAAATTATTTTTTATATGAGATCACCTTAAATTATGTCAACCTACTGTTAGGTGTCATGTTGTTTAGACCTGGTTTAGTCCTGGTTTAGTCCTGATTTTTAGACCAGGTCTAGACCAGGTCTTTAGTTCTGGTTTAGTCGTGGTTTAGTCCTAGTTTAAACCTGGTTCAGTCCTGCTTTAGTCCTGGTTTAGTCCTGGGTTAGTCCTGGTTTTAGTCCTGGTGTTAGTTCTGGTTTAGAGGCGCACAGGAGGAAGTGCGGTTTACGCGAGAAAACACGTTCCACACGCGGCGCACGAGACGGCGGTGTCCGCGCTGTAACTACGGAAGGAGACGTGGTCCGCGGGTTCTCAGGTTGATGACGATGATGAAGGTGTGTGTTGGTGTGTGTTTGTGTGTGTTTGTGTGCGCGTCCCCTCATGTCGCAGGTCACTATAGGACAGTGGTGCAGTCTATGCAGGTTGTTTTCACCAGTGCCAGTAGCTCCTGTTTCACATTTAAGTTGTAGGCGATTTTTATTAGTTTTTTTTTTAATATATATCTCACATCGGGAGAAAAATTTCCAAGACACAAATGCGTTTTTACCAATGCACTGCTGCTTCCACTGTGCGACTGACACCGCCAAATTTAACATGACGTTTACATCGCTCTTATTGCGCGCGTTCTGTTTGGGTTTCCGGCAATGAGTGGAATTACCGAAATAAAAAAATAAATAAATGGGATGTAGCACAAAATGTGAAAACAGGAAAATACCGCCTTGTAATCCACTTATTTCAGCAAAGTAACTGTAATCCAATTACCACTCATTGAAACATTAACTGTAACGGAATACAGTTACTCATAATTTGTACTCTGATTACGTAACGGCGGTACATGTAATCCGTTACTCCCCAACACTGAGTATAGTATGAATAAATACACCAAATACTTTCACATTAAAGATCTATGGAACAACTGAAATTATGGAACAAAAAACTTTGTTCGAATATACATGTATTCAAAAGGGCAATTAAAAAATTTATTATTTCAAAATACTGTGTGGAAGAAATTAGTGCTTAGGGTATATGTGTGCATGTATATGTATGTGTATGTATATGGGTGTATATATGTATATATATATATAGGTATGCATGGGTATGTGATGTGTATGTAGGTATGTATATATATATTATATCTGTGTATATATGATGTGTACTATATATCTGTGTACATAATATACATATATTTGTTGTTGTCTGTTAGATTGTAATGCAATGGAGGTACTGTGCAATTATTGCTTATAATGTACAGGAAATGAGAAGTCTGTATTTGTTCTTCGTTAATTTGGGACTGTAGAAAAAAGGGGTGGGGTTAAATAAGTATTTACTTCCTCCCACTCCTTTTTCGGACACAAGGAAAATTCTGCGTAACATTTATTTTGCCTGTTATTATAGAATAGAAATAGTTTTTGTGTTATATCTATGTATTTACGTTTTTGGTTTTTTTATTATTTAGTTTTTAGTTTTTTGTTTTAATTTATGTTCTATGTATTACTGTCCGAAATAAATAAACATAATATCTATCTATCTATCTATCTATCTATCTATCTATCTATCTATCTATCTATCTATATTTATATCTCTGTCTCTAATTATATTTACCTAATATTATATTTATATTATATTTGCAGGCAGTGTTGGGGAGTAACTGATTACATGTACCTGCATTATGTAATCAGAGTACAAATTATGAGTAACTGTATTCAGTTACAGTTACTGTTTCAATGAGTGGTAATTGGATTACAGTTACTTTGTTGAAATAAATGGATTACATGGTGGTATTTTCCTGTTTTCACATTTTGAGCTATATCATATTTTTAAAAATTATTTTATTTCGGTAATTCCACTGATTGCCGGAAACCCAAACAGAACAAGAGCCAAGTGAACGTCTTGTTAACGCTGGTGGTGTCAGTCACACAGTGGACGAGGTTGTTAATAGTCGTTGTTGTTAATAACCTGATTCTGCCTCATTTTGAGTAAAAAACATCCAATATTACTGATTTTTACTGGGCTGGCACCTTTATGTTTGTACTGAAAGTTATTATTATTTTTTAAATAAACAATATGGGTGGACATTTCTCTATCAATAATATTTTTAATCTGGTTAAGGAAAGACAGGGCTTTTTCTTGTCTTTTATCAGACAAAATATCTTATGTTATGATTTCCTCGTCTTTGCTTCTCTACAGTAAACAAAATCTGTTCGTGGAGACTTGGGCTCAACAGACAATTTGGAGAGGACAGACAAGAATTTTCAGGATGTGGTTGGTACTTTCATGTAGTTTTAAAAAACATGACAATATCAAGTAATCCAAAGTATTCAGATTACGTTACTCACTTTAAGTAATTTAATGGATTACGTTACAAACTACATTTTGGGATATGTAATTTGTAATCTGTAGGGGAATACATTTTAAAAGTAACCTTCCCAACACTGTTTGCAGGATAATAAAAATTTTTTTTTAAAAACTCAATTTATCCTGGATTTACTACTTTCCGCTCTGGTAAGTATAATACGCGATATGATTGGTCGAGAGATACGCCAATCATAATGTTTTGGTCTGTGATTGGACAAGACTGTGCGCAGCGGTCGTCGTAGTGGCGCACTGACTTGACCGTGCATCTTTGAGTAACTTCTGTCTCTGAGGCAGCGGCTGCAGCGAAACATCCTACAACACAAAAACTCCCAAAGGCAATCTTGTCCACATGTAAGTATTTATTGTTGGAATTATGTGACTTTTGTATAATTTACATGAAAATCTGTGTGTATTTTATTAGTATCCTATCCAAATTCGATGCAAAGTCCGCTCACGTGTCTTAGCGCCATTAGCCACCTTGTGCTAGTTAATGCTATTTAGCTGAAAAGACTAGCCGCTGCCAACTTTTGTCTTTATAAAAAGAGAAACATGCTTAAATTCTTAGGGGTCTTGGTACAAACTTGTAAATGACTCTGTTCCTCATTAATTCGTCATCATCTTTGAGATTGATAGTCGGCGAAAATGCTATGCCAACTACACGTGGTCCAGCTATCCAAATATCTAAACGCACAACTCCTTTTGTTGTTCACGGTTGCACATTTCGTCGCTACCAAACCGTAATTCATAAATATAAGTGCATTCCATTTGTCTGTATCTTTAAACTATTATTTCTTTTAATTATTTGGATAGTTCATAAATGATAAATTGCATTATGTTTTGTCACTAACCAAAGATACAGAAATGCAATTATATTACATTACTAATCATACACATAATCATCAAATAAAAAAATATATCAATGTATTTATTTTTTTATTTTTATTTCATTTGCTTGCTGTTTTAGGCGCAATCATGAGCGAGGAATGGCAAGGGGTGAGCTTGAAAATCTGGTCTACTTAAAAGGCAACAGGTGCAAGATGTATTGTTCATTTTGTTATTTTTTCCCCAGACAACCACAACTTCCAGCACATCCTTCTTTGCGAGTCAACCAAATGGTAGTGCAACAATTTGATTTCTTTATAGATTTATTTGAGCAAAAGATTAAAGAGTTTTTCATTTTTTTAGACTCTAAAAAAGATTTCTGGAACAATAACAATGAAGGAGAGTTTGGAAGAGGTAAGTATATGCTGTAATTTAATACCTGTTGTAATTGTGCAGTGCATTCTTCCCTGAGGGCATTGCTGTTGTAGGCAGAGGGGGCAGAGGACGTGGAGGTGGAAGGAGGGGAGGCTTCAAATCATTTAATGGTAATGTGTAAATCAATATCTTGTAATAAAAGTTGTAAATTGCCCTGGACTGTATAGAATTGGTTTGCTAATGGTGCTTTAATTTGCAGATGGAGATGAGAATGGAAATACTGATGGTAAGTTTTTAATAATTTCAATAATTCCCTAGTTTTTTGTATTTTTTTTCTTTCTGTCAGAGGATGGTGGCTGGAACATAAGTGGTGGTGGTGACGACAGTGGAGGATTTCGGGGAAGAGGAGGCAGAGGTGACAACATCATTTTTAAATGATAAATTTCAAAGTCCTGTTTACATCTGTTGATCTTCCTTATATGTACAAGTATTTTTTTCTTGGAGCAGGTCGAGGTCGTGGATTTGGCAAGTCAGGCAACAGAGATTTTAATGGTAATTAGTATTTAAGTACCACATTTACATTACAACTTCATATTTATATTGACATTCTTTTTTTCTTCAGATGACTATGACGGTGGTTCTGAAAATGGTAAAAATGAGCACCTGCAGTATATCATTATTAGCACCTGGGTTAGGTGTTCTAAAGGTCTTTGTGAACAGGCTTCAGAGGCGGTGGAAGAGGAGGACGAGGGGGCAGAGGAGCCCGTGGAGACTTTGGCTCAGGTAGTCTTCTTCACAGTCAAAACTCTACTTGCAACGGTTCACATAATTTTTAAATGTCTGTTTTGAAGTTGGTGACCGAGGTGGTCGTGGTGGATTTGGTGGCGGCAAGTTATTTAATATATATATGCATATAGTATTTAATGTACTTTTTATCATACTAAAATGGTGCTTTTCAGGATACAGAGGATGTGACGAAGAAACCTTTTCATTACAAGGTATGCAAAATGTTTGGTTTAGTTTGACATAATTTGGAGTAAACTTGTACAAACTTTCTCTGCAGGAAGTGACAAGAAGGATGGGGCAGGCGACGGAGAAAGTGAGCCGTTAAAAACTGGTTTAAAATATTTGCTAGTAAAAATGTTAAGAATAATTTTGTTGCAGAGCCGAGGGTTATGTATATTCCTCCCAGCCTCCCTGAGGATGAAGACACGATTTTCTCTCATTATGAGTCTGGAATCAACTTTGACAAATATGATGAGATCATGGTTGAAGTTAGTGGGGACAACCCCCCTCAGGCACTCATGGTGAGTTGATGTCACTGTAACCTACGCTAGCTCAGTGATGACTGAAATCTTCTTAATGTTGTAAATGTGTTCAGAGTTTTGAAGAGGCTGGGCTGTGTGAGTCTTTGAAGAGGAATGTGGCTAAATCGGGTTATGTGAAGCCCACCCCTGTTCAGAAACATGGCATCCCCATCATCGCAGCAGGCAGAGACCTGATGGCCTGTGCCCAGACTGGCTCTGGGAAAACGGTGAGTGCTTCTTAGAGCCATAGTATATAATCTGGTATTGGTGTGGAATTACTGTTGTGTCCAGGCAGCGTTCCTGCTACCCATCCTCCAGCAGCTCATGGCTAACGGAGTAGCAGCCAGTCAGTTCAGTGAGCTACAGGAGCCCGAGGTCATTATAGTGGCTCCCACCAGAGAGCTCATCAACCAGATCTACCTTGAGGCGAGGAAGTTTGCCTATGGGTATAGTTCTCATTTACTTTTAGAATTAAAACAGGATGATTGTTATGTAAAACTGTTAAGCAAATGTACTTGTTCTTGCCCTTCAGAACCTGTGTTCGCCCTGTTGTCGTATACGGAGGAGTAAATACTGGATACCAGGTCAGAGACCTTTGCAGAGGATGTAATGTTCTGTGTGGAACACCAGGAAGACTGTTGGACATGATCAACAGGGGAAAGGTAACTGTTCTACAGAGTGACGGCTGTTTTAGAATAATCATAGAGACAGTTGTTCTAAGCAGATGTGGTTTTCCAGGTTGGCCTGACAAAAATACGGTACTTTGTATTGGATGAGGCTGACCGAATGTTGGACATGGGCTTTGAGCCGGACATGCGCCGCCTTGTGGGCTCCCCGGGAATGCCTGCTAAAGAGGACAGGCAGACCTTGATGTTCAGCGCCACATTCCCAGACGATATCCAAAAGTATGAACACAAACACTCTTGTATGTGCACTCTGAGAAACTCTGACATTTTGTCTTTAGGCTGGCAGCGGACTTCCTCAGAAAAGACTACCTGTTTCTTGCTGTGGGAATTGTGGGTGGAGCCTGTACTGATGTACAGCAGGAGTTAGTTGAGGTCACAAAGCTTTTGAAGAGGCAGAAACTTCTAGAGTTTCTTAAAGTGACAGGTATTGGGCAGATTTTTTCACATTGTATCATAATCATTATTTGAACGTGATTTTTTTATTATTATTATTATTTTTTTAAATTTTCTTCTGATTTTAGGAACCGAACGCACTCTGGTCTTTGTAGAGACAAAGAGACAAGCAGATTTCATTGCTGCCTTTTTGTGCCAGGAGAAGATCCCCACCACTAGTATTCATGGGTGAGTAGAGCGGTGTTCACTCTTAATCTTATATATGGTGATCACTCAATTTTGCTGCCATGTTTGTACTTGCAGAGATCGGGAGCAACGTGAGCGAGAGCGAGCTCTGTCAGACTTCCGCTCAGGGAAGTGTCCTGTCCTGGTGGCCACCTCAGTGGCTGCTCGAGGTCTAGACATCCCAGATGTGCAGCATGTGATCAACTTTGACCTGCCCAATAACATAGACGAGTATGTGCACCGCATCGGGAGGACAGGCCGTTGTGGGAACATTGGCCGAGCAGTGTCCTTCTTTGACCCAGATAATGATGGTCAGATGGCCCGCTCCCTCATCTCTATCCTGTCTAAGGTCTGCACTGCTCTAAATACTCTTCAGTGGTCATTCTTGCTCTTAGGTCATGTGTCATGGTGTGTTGTGCTCACAGGCCCAGCAGACAGTCCCCTCCTGGTTAGAGGAGAATGCTTTCAGTGGACCGGACTCTGCGGGACCCTCTATGAGGGGCTTCGGAGCTATCGACTCAAGGAAGGTTCGTCCCCAGAGCACATCCTTCCAGAACGACAGCAAGAGTCAGCCCTCTGCACAGTGCGATGCAGAGGAGGAGGACTGGGGCTAAAGACTCTTGTGTCATGTTTTATTGCTGTTTTGTTTAAAATAAGCACTATCATCCTGTTCAGTTTGAAGGATGTTTTTCTACAGGCCTTAATATTGAAAACTATTTGGGAAGTTTATTTTAGTTTGCTTTGTGCTTTAAATTTTATAGTGCATTATGCATGTTTTGAAAAACAAAAGCATGACATCTAATGTGAAGTATTTCTGTTTTGAGATGCGAAAAAATAAATCAACAAAGTTGAAAGCAAACTGTCTTTTTATTCTTTAAATATTACTATTCTGTAGAGATAAATTAGCCACAGATTAAGATGTATAAATATATAAAGTACTTTTTTTTTTTTTTTTTTTTTTTGAATCAGCTGACTTGAAATAAACGTGAGAGTTTCCGGTGTTGGGCGGCTCTTTGCTCAGAGCTTGTGATAATTGGTCAGTTGTAAATCTGGTTCCTGTTTTGAATCGCTCCTGTTGTGTGTCTGTTTATATCAGCCGTGTGGAGAAGCATGTAACTGTTCTGTCAGAAAACTCCTAATAGTGACTCTTGCAGCGTCCCGAGGCTTTAGTCCCCAAACCAGTGAAAAAAAGAATGTTTTAGCTTCGTGTCTGTTCAGCGGCGCCATGTTTGCTCCCAGAGCCTCCGTCAGAAGTAAGGTAAGTGATATTTAATATTTAAGCACAGCTCTGACCCTGATTAAAAGACGTCCATTCGCCTGCTGAACCATAGACTGTATCATACTATGTGCTGATCCTCCTCTGTTGTGTAAAGAAGGTGACTTCGGGCAGGCTAACGGGAGCTAGCAAGGTACAAGCAGCACGGAGCAGGTAAAACAACATCCATTAAAACTATTCTGAAACCTAAACCCACACAGTCAGTCAGTGTTTAGATATTTTCTGGAACGTCCACATGTTAAATTGCTTAGCCTAACTTTCTGTGACGTTTGTTTGCATAATGTGCTTACTTCTTTCAGAGGATCTCCTAAATCCAGAGTAGAACCTGCTTACTCCCTGTACTCCACTGACTCAGAAGACCAGGTGCACGACTTTACACCTTTATTATTTTATTTAAACTAATTCAAATATTTGATATAATTCCATTATTTATATAATTCCATCTATTGTTGATTCTTAAGGTGGCCACCCTCCACAAAGGTCTGGACCGATGTGCTGCTCTCCTCAGTGACATCCTCCAATGTGACAATCAAGGTTTTTAATAATGAACCTTCATGAACTTGTTTACATGTGTAGATCTCTTGTCTTAACCTGGTTGTGTTATGTCATAGATGTGGTACAAAAGCAGGACAGATCAGTGAAGGATGCAGTGCTCAAAATTCGACCTCACACTCCCGCTGGGAAGAAGGCCATTAGGAGGTCGCTTTCCAAGTCAGGTCAGAATAACACCAACAGTTTATATGTGTTTTGGTGAGCTGGGGTACTGCAGATCGCCCCAGTTGAAAGTTAATATATAGAACATGTGGACCATTACATTTACTCTATAATTGTTGTCAGCTAAACAGAGTAGATTCAACTCTCTATTTTAAAATGGAATAGTTTACAAAAAAACTGGAAAGTAAAACAGCTGGTTCCTAAATGGCTTGGAAATGAGATTTATAGTTTGTAACCCCTTTCAGTCAACATTCTTGTAGTTCTCTAAATATGTGTTGATGTATTGTCTGATCTGTGCTGCTGTCTTGTCCACAGAAAATAGAATAGTAACTTTACTGGTTAAATTGTGCTGCCCCGCTGTACCTCTCTGAACTCCTCCATCCTTACACTCCTGCACCGTCTCTCAGGTCGGCTGACCAGCTCCTCCTGAGTGTGCCAAAAAGCAGCTCGAAGCTCAGAGGATCGGAGCCTTTGCAGTGGCGTCACCAAAACTATGGAATGAGCTTTGCACATTAGACAAGCCTCTTCTCAGGGTCGGTCATGGAAATGGTCATGGAAATCCTGGAAAAGCCATGGAAATTTAAAATGTCATTTTCTAGGCCTGGAAAAGTCATGAAATTTTAGTATCTCTTTCACGCAACTCCATAATTCTGTTAAGTTCGCATTAGGCTATTGTTATTTCTGAACGTCTGCGCCTTTTGTTTAAAAGAGACGACAATAAATGCACTGACAGGATTTTGAATGTTCAAAAACTATAATCCCAAACCATAAGGTAAGTGGAAAGGATTAACATTTCATATTTAGCCCTAAAAGTCTGATCAATTCTACAAATGTAGGTGCCATAAAGTCATTGAAAATTCACTTTGGGTCATGAAAAAGTTTTGGTCATGGAAAAGTTTTGAAATTTTGTCAGTGAAAAAGAGTGGTAACCCTGGTTTCTGTCCCTGTTTTTAAATCTCTTCTTAAAAATTACTTGTTCACTTTGGCCTTTGACACAGTTTGAGATATTAGATTGTTGTTTTTTTTTAGATTTTTAGATTAGATTTTGTTGTTATTCATATGTAGTTTTATTGTTTTTTATTAAATTATGTTCTGTAGCGCTTTGGTCAACCTGTGTTGTTTTTGAAGTGAGTTATAAATAAAGTTGCAGTAAAATTAAAAAAGCAAAAACAAAAAAACAGAGGTACACTACACTTTATTATCCCTGTAACCAAATGTGTCCTCTGCATTTGACCCATCTTTCAGTTCCACTGGGACAGCCTGTCAGGATAAGTGGGACCCATCTCCAGATCTTGAGCTAGGCTTGGTCAGGATTACTTTAGGATTTTATGCACAGTGCATATTTTGAGTTCATAGGGGAAACTGGAGTGCCTAGAGGAAACACAACCTGATGTGAACTTGATTTAAAAAATATAAATAGTATAGGAAAGAGCACAATGTCAAATAATGGCGATCTGTGGAACTGATTCTGTTACTTCTTCTTTTCAGTTCCAAACCCTCGGAGCGCACAGGTGATCCGCCGGAAATCCACAAACAAACCTGTCCTGACCACACCCCAGCACAGCCCTGCCCCTCCCCACAGTGGCGTCAAGCTCCACCCCCCAATGAGGAAAGCCAACCTGCTTAAGACGCCGTCCAAAACAGCAAAGCCCCAGCCTCTGCGCTCACCTGTGCCCCCCGCTGAGACCCACACCGGGCTGGACTGTGTTCCAGAGAGGGACTGGGGGCCAGTGGGGGTAGGGGAGGGGGAGGAGGGCAAAATGACAAGAGTGAAGTGTCTGCTGGGAGAACTGAAAACGCTGATGGTTGGACATGGTAAGAATTTAGGTTTCAGAACAAAAATAGTGGCGAGTATGACTTGCAAATAAAAGATATTTGAATAGACCATTAGATAACCACTGCCCAGGGTGTACAAGTCTCAGTTATGGAACACCGTAGGCAAACATTAAAGATGGAGGTAATATGCAAAATGGACGTTTTGGGACCTTCTACCATGTTATAATGTTCCCTTATCAAAAACATGCCTGAAGAGGTTTTAAATGTCATCCATGCATGTTTCAGTAATTTAGCTTTCTCTCCAGGCCCTATTCAAACCCTCTTTACAGTTAGCTGCAAGTTTCTGTTGGCAGTTCTCACAAAACCGTATACAGCAGCTTGACAAACCTGATATGATATAGTAGTTTCATTAGTGGGATACACGCTGATCATGTTGTGATAGTGCTCTGAAGTGTGAGTGAGTGCCAAAAACGAAAGTGTAAGTTCTAAAATCTGGAGACTACACTGTATGTTCCTGCTAAGCCACTATACAGCACAATCTGTTCTTGAAAATGGTCAGAATACAGTACACATTCTCCATACCTTAGCCCAGTTGTCTCCAACCTAGAGCTCGGGAGCTACCAGTAGCTCTCCACCCTCTTTCAAGTAACTTGCCAAAGGATTTCTGAATTATATATATTGTGCTTCATAACTAAAATCAAATTGGTGGTTTTCAGATTTAAGAATGTGATGCTGTCATACTCTCAGATGGGGGCAAGGAACAGATTTCCCTATGAATAACACTGTACTTTGTCATGAAATTTCAAAAATGCTTGTTCACAAATCATAAAGTAATCTTTTCTATTGGTGATTAAACCCATTAACTTGCAATATTACAAGAAAAACCTCCATTTTAAGTGTATTTACTTTAGTTGCCCCCCATCTGTATTAAATATTATTGGCCTATAGAATGCTGTGATGTCATCTGAAACCCACCAAGAAATGGAAATGGAAATGGTTTATGTTTAATAGTGTACCCTGCCTTAAAATTTGCCATAGCTTTTCTACTTTCTCAATTTTTTGCATCCGCTAAAATGAATAGCTCTCTGGCATTTTCGTTTTATAAATGTAGCTCACCAGAGGAGCTTGGAGACCCCTGCTTTAGTCTCATCATTATTAGATGTATTTCATGGTAAATAAAACTAAGCATGTGTATATATTTTCACATACTCTCTTTTGAAATTGTGCCGTCTTTTGTAGGAGACTCTGCTCAGACATATTTGCATTTGCTGGAGCAGACTGTGTCCTCTGCGCTCAGCTCCGAAAACATCAAAAACCAGGACCCCAGTACAAGTCAGAACCAAGACCCAAGTACCAACAAGGGCCAGACTGATAGTACACAGGTCCAGCTAGAGAGGTAACACCATAGCATGTCTCATAATACTAACAATCTAGTGTAAAGGTGCGCTATGGAACTTTTCTGGTGAACGGTCTGCTAAGTGCTTGTCTCTTTGCGGCATTAAACGTATTTATCTTGCATCTATTTAATTAAATGTGTGTTGATGCATTCTTACTACAAGTCTTTCTACAAGTCTGACCTGGAATCTTTGCTTGATTCCATCTCTATAGAAATTAATAATGCCATACTGTGGAATATTCCAGGCACAGGAAGGTTACTTTTAAAATGTATTCCCCTACAGATTACAGATTACATACCCCAAAATGTAGTTTGTAACGGAATCCATTAAATTACTTAAGGTGAGTAACGTAATCTGAATACTTTGGATTACTTGATTTGCTGTAGAGAAACAAAGACTCGGAAATCTTCACATTAGATGTTTTGTTTGCTAAAAGAAAATAAACCAAATTAAAAATATTATTGATAGAAGAGGAGGAGACATGGTCCGCATGGCATGGTTTAGTCCTGTTAAATCCTGGTTTAGACCTGGGTTTAGATCTGGGTTAGACCTGGGTTTAGACCTGGGTTTAGACCTGGTTTAGTCCTGGTTTAGTCCTGGTTTAGTCCTGGTTTAGACCTGGGTTTAGACCTGGGTTTAGACCTGGGTTTAGACCTGGGTTTAGACCTGGTTTAGACCTGGGTTTAGACCTGGTTTAGACCTGGGTTTAGTGTCCGGTAATGAGTGAAATTACAGAGGGGAAAAAAAAAGGGAATAGCCCAAAATGTGAAAACAGGAAAATACTGCCATGTAATCCATTTATTTCAACAAAGTAACTGTAATTCAGTTACCACACATGGAAACAGTAACTGTAACTGAATACAGTTACTCATAATTTGCACTCTGATTATGTAACTCCAGTACATGTAATCTGTTACTCCCCAACACTGTCCAAGCATTAGTCCGGTTCCTTATTGTCATTTTTTGACCTTAGTGGGAAGTTTTTGGGGATTTGCTAACCTATATATTTTTGGAAAGGTTATAGTATATGGAGTCAGAAAATCAATGTTTGCATTTGCCCACATGTCTTTATGGCGGCCATATTGGATTTTTAAAAAATGGCCGCCAAAAAACCCTTTTTGGAATATCTCAGCCTGTGAATAAGTTCAAATGTTGATTTTAACTGCTAAACCCACATTTTCAGGGTCAGGGAATCAAATGGTGCTAGTTACAAAGCTGTAAGACCTACCCACATTAACCCTTACATGAATAAGTGGGTCAAAAATGACCCGGTTTGGTTGTTTTCTTGCATTTTCACTGTAATATTCACATGTAATACTCCATGTTCCTCCAAAAACATGTTTTTTTTTTATCCTGCTGAAATACATCAACAATATGGGTAAAACAAATTATAAACATCACATGCAGCTGGTCAGATAACTCAAAGAGTTTAAAAGTAGCTAACATAAAATTTGGATGTTGGATGTAAACACACACATTTAGACACAATATGATTACACAACTTTTTATGAGACATTTTCTATAGATCATCATTATCATCATCACTTTCATACAACCATAGACTGTATCTACGAGTAGACAGATCTAACGCTGGAGCTGCCGTGTGCCAAATAGGAAGTTCTCCAGGAGGCTCTTCCGGCTCCTTCTGACTCTAGCTCCAATGGACTTACATTAGGATCTTGTGGCTCCTCTCTCTGTACCTGCTGCAGTGAGCCTTGATATTTTGGTCTTACAAAGGTTTGTATGAACCCGCTCTACATGATCCTGATTTTTTTTTTTTTTTTGCTATTTTGTCCATCAAAAAAATCCTATTCATAATATAAAGCCCGTGGCTGGATGAGATCCATCCTGAGTACCTTAAGTCTCTGGATGTTGTGGGTCTTGGCTGACATGCCTCTTCAACATCGTGTGGCGGTCGGGGACAGTACCTCTGGACTGGCAGACCGGGGTGTTGGTCCCTCTGCATAAGAAGGGGGACTGGAGGGTGTGCTCCAACTACAGGGGAGTCACACTTCTGTCCCTGGCACAGACCGGGGAGGCTGAGGAGAGGAGAATCCGACCGTGGTTTTCATCCCGGTCGTGGAACACTGGACCAGCTCTACACTCTCCATCTGGAGCTCGAGGGTTCATGGGAGTTTGCCCAACCAGTCCACATATATATATATATATATATATATATACATACAGTAACCCTAGGCAGAGGGGTTACATGAACAGGATGTGGGAGAAATGGTTATTACGATACCCACAGTCCAAGCTAACGGCCAAACAACTAGTAGCTCAGTGTTCCAACATCCACAAACGGCAACTGCTATCACAACTAGAGATTGATGAGGTACAACACAAATGCCACGGCAAGGGGGAACCAGTGTGCCAGGTCAGAGGGGAGTTGACACCAACTCCCCAACCAGAGATTGGGTATGAAACCCCAATAAGTATCACGCTGAGTGAGGCAGCGACTGACCTGAAAGATAAGATCATGGCCCGAATGAACACAAGGCAACCCCGATGCCAGTTACAGAGGCTAAGTGAAGTACCATCTGAAAGTCTCCTAGACGATGTGAATGCAGCACTGAGAGCGATCCCTACCACAACAATCACTGAAACCAATGAGCTGATATACACTTCAGCAACAGTGATCCTAGATGTGTTGGGCTATAAGAGCAACCATGGGAGCCATGCGATACAATACCCACCATGGCAAAGACGGTTAGAGGCTAAAATCAAGGAGGTGCGGAGAGAAGTGAGCCAACTGTCAGAGGCCCAGAAAGGTGCAATGAAAAAAAAAAAGCAAGTGCCCAAGAGGTACAACCAGTTGCCCATACCTGAAGCACTCGAAACTGCCAAACAAAGGCTCCAAGCCTTGGCCAGCCGCCTAAAGAGGTACACACGAGATAAGGAGGCCAGACGAATAACCGGCTGTTCGCAACACAACCGGCGAAAGTGTACGCTCAGTGGCAGGGTAATAACACCAGAGCAGACCCACCAAGGCTGGAGACTGAGAGGTACTGGAAAGGCATATGGGAAAGGGAGGCATCACATAACACTGATGCACAGTGGCTGGTGGATCTGAGAGAAGACCACAGCAACCTCCCTGAACAGAATCCAGTCACCATCACAGTGGCAGACATCCAGGGAAGAGTCTCAGGTATGAAAAACTGGACCGCACCGGGCCCTGACATGATCCATGCATACTGGCTAAAGAAGCTCACTGCCCTCCACGAGCGCCTGGCAGCACAGATGAACCAGCTGCTAAGGGATGGGACTCACCCTGAATGGTTAACCCAAGGGCGTACGATCCTGATCCTAAAGGATCCCTCAAAGGGTGCAGTCCCATCCAACTATCGGCCAATAACCTGTCTCTCCACAACATGGAAGCTCATGTCAGGCATCATTGCGGCTAAGATAAGTGGGCACATGAATCAATACATGAGCGCAGCACAGAAGGGTATTGGCAAAAACACCAGGGGAGCCAAACACCAACTCCTGGTTGACCGAACAGTCGCCCGTGACTGCAGAACCCGTAAGACCAACCTGTGCACTGCCTGGATTGATTACAAGAAATCCTATGACTCAATGCCACACACCTGGATCACTGAGTGCTTGAAGCTGTACAATATCAACAGGACTCTAAGGGCGTTCATTGCGAACTCGATGCGGTTGTGGAAAACCACCCTTGAAGCCAAGGGGAAGCCACTTGCACATGTGTCCATCAAATGTGGTATATACCAAGGAGACTCACTGTCCCCACTACTGTTCTGCATAGGCCTGAACCCTCTCAGCCAAATAATCGACCGCACTGGCTATGGATACCGACTCAGAAACGGGGCCACCATCAGTCACCTCCTCTACATGGATGACATCAAGCTGTACGCTAAGAGTGAGCGAGACATCGACTCACTGATCCACACCACAAGGATCTACAGTACAGACATTGGGATGTCATTCGGGCTTGAGAAATGTAGCAGGATGGTGACAAAGAGAGGGAAGGTAGTCTACACAGAGGGGGTGTCACTCCCAGAGGGAACAATAGCGGACGTTGAGGACAGTTACAAGTACCTTGGTATCCCACAAGCAAATGGCAACCTCGAAGAGGCAATAAGGAAAGCGGCTACGGCCAAATACCTGCAAAGAGTGAGGCAAGTCCTTAGAAGCCAGCTCAATGGCAAGAACAAGGTGCAGGCAATCAACAGCTACGCCCTGCCAGTGATCAGATACCCTGCAGGGATTGTAAGCTGGCCAAAGGAGGAGATACAGACCACAGATGTTAAGACACGAAAGCTCCTGACCATGCATGGAGGGTTCCATCCCAAATCCAGCACCCTGAGACTGTACGCAGGCCGGAAGGAAGGGGGCCGAGGACTAGTGAGTGTGGGAACCACTGTCCAGGATGAAACATCCAAGCTTCTTGAGTACATCAAGGACAAGGCCCCGACAGATGAGGTGCTCAGAGAATGTTTCAGACAGTGGGGTCCAGAGGAAGAGGTGCTGGAGGGACCATCATGGCAGGACAAACCCCTACATGGGGCGTACCACCGGAACATAACTGAAGTGACTGATATCAAGAAATCCTACCAATGGCTTGAGAGGGCTGGTCTGAAGGACAGCACAGAGGCACTGATCCTGGCTGCTCAGGAGCAGGCCCTGGGCACTCGAGCAATAGAGGCCCAGATCTACCACACCAGACAAGACCCACGGTGTAGACTGTGCAAAGAGGCTCCTGAGACAGTCCAGCACATAACTGCAGGGTGTAAGATGCTGGCAGGGAAAGCATACATGGAGCGACATAACCAAGTGGCGGGCATAGTGTACAGAAACATCTGTGCAGAGTTCGGGCTGGAAACCCCAGGATCAAGGTGGGAAACGCCTCCAAAGGTTGTGGAGAATGACCGAGCCAAGATCCTGTGGGACTTTCAGATACAGACTGACAGAATGGTGATGGCGAACCAACCAGACATAGTGGTGGTGGATAAGAAACAGAGCAGAGCCGTGGTGGTGGACATCGCAATACCAAGCGATGGTAATATCAGGAAAAAGGAACACGAGAAGCTAGAGAAATACCAGGGGCTCAAGGAAGAGCTGGAGAGAGCCTGGAAAGTAAAGGCATCAGTGGTGCCTGTGGTGATCGGACACTCGGGGCTGTAACCCCCAAACTGGAAGAGTGGCTACAACAGATACCGGGAAAAACAATGGACATCTCAGTCCAGAAAAGTGCAGTACTGGGAACAGCAAAGATACTGCGCAGAACTCTCAAGCTCCCAGGCCTCTGGTAGAGGACCCGAGCTGAATGAGGGTGAGAGAGAGACCTACCACCGTGGAAGGTGAGAAACACATTATATATATATATATATATATATATATATATATATATATATATATATATATAATTATACACATACACATACCACAACATCTTGTGAATACCCTGTGATAGCAAATATAAGCGAGACCACAGTGTCAAAAAACAAGCAGGACACCCCTATTTGGACGATGGAAGAACTGGAGCTCAGAGCTCGGAGTCCGGACAGCCGTGCATCTATCCATCTTGTTGAACAGTTGCTAATGTTTATTAAGCAAATATATGCAATAAGTGCATGCACAATTTGCTTCATTTAGTTTTCTTTAAATAAATGATGTCATGATAGCAGCAGTTGGTCCTAATGAAGGCTCAGGGTCCAGGTCCACGGTTCACCACTGCCAAGTACAAAGGCGACTGCAGAACTGCACACCAGAAACTAAAGGTTTATCCTGTACCGACATGTGTCAGTGCAGCAGCCAGTGCCAGAATGATGATGATTCCGAAGCCATGTTGTTGCATAGACTGTATAAAAGAAGTGGACTAAGTGAGTGTGACCCACAGAGTTCAGTAACACTCAAATGAGGCTTGTGATGTTCACAGTTACAGGAGCCAATCTGGAGCCAGACTCTATATTATGAATAGGATCATGTGTCGTGGGTTAACACAAACATTTTAAGACCAAAATGTTGAGGCTCACTGCAGCAGGTACAGAGAGAGGAGCCACAAGATCCTAATGTAAGTCCATTGGAGCCAGAGTCAGAAGGAGCTGGAAGAGAACTTCCTATTTGGCACAGGGCGGCTACAGCGTTAGATCTGTTCACTCATATATACAGTCTATGGTTGTATGAAAGTGATGATGATAATGATGATCTATAGAAAATGTCTCATAAAAAGTTGTGTAATCATATTGTGTCTAAATGTGTGTGTTTACATCCAACATCCAAATTTTATGTTAGCTACTTTTAAACTCTTTGAGTTATCTGACCAGCTGCATGTGATGTTTATAATTAGTTTTACCCATATTGTTGATGTATTTCAGCAGGATAAAAAAAAAAAAAAAACATGGAACAGGAACATGGAGTATTACATGTGAATATTACAGTGAAATTGCAAGAAAACAACCAAACTGGGTCATTTTTGACCCACTTATTCATCTAAAGGTTAATGTGGGTAGGTCTTACAGGTTTGTAACTAGCACCATTTGATTCCCTGACCCTGAATGTGGGTTTAGCAGTTAAAATCAACATTTGAACTTATTCAGAGGCTGAGATATTCCAAAAAGGGTTTTTTGGCGGCCATTTAAAAAAAAAATCCAATATGGCCGCCATAAAGACATGTGGGCAAATGCAAACATTGATTTTCTGACTCCATATACTATAACCTTTCCAAAAATATATAGGTTAGCAAATCCCCCAAAAATTCCCACAAAAGTCTATAATGAACCGGACTACATAGCAAAAACATCACAGAGACAAGCAATCAGTGACCACCTCCACCCAAAAAATTACATAGTGCACCGTAAGATGTGTAAAGTAATCATTTTATCCATGTTATCCAATATTTTTATAGCTACCTGACCTTGAATATCTTATCTGAAATGACTTTGCTTTCAATAGCAGCTCACTTTTGTTGAATCAGAAATCTGCCTGTATATATTTTCTTGAGCTATCAGCTTGTCATCACCTCTGTGTGCTCTCCAGACAGGTGAAATCTTTGAACCAGCAACTTCAGGACCAAGAGGCAACACAGCAGCTCCTAAACTCACAAGGTATGATTTTAATAAAAGTACAACAGAGTACTTTTTTTTGTAAATAGTCACTAATCTAATGCTTGTGATCAGTGCTGAGTTTACAGGGAGAGCTGAGTGCGGCAGAGAAGGAGCTGTCTCGAGTGCGAACAAGCCTCCAGGAGACTGAGAGCAGGTTACAGAGCAGAGAGGAGGAGAGCGTCAGCCTTAAAACAGGTGGGACACTTCAACACGCTGGATACTGTGAAATGTGAAAACTGATTAGGATTGTGCCTGTGTCATTTAATGTGCTGTAAAATCTAAACATGGTTGTGTGTGGACAGAGTTGGAGAGCACCAGGGGAAGGCTGAGAGCAACTCTACAGGACAAGTTTAAACTGGAGGCAATGCTACAGCAGAAACAGCAGGAGATCGAGACTCTCCAGAGGTAAGGAAGTACTGGAGATTTAAAGATTTAAAGATGCATTATTCAAGTTCTAATGATGTTCAACAGTATGGCATTAAAATGATCTATCTCACATTTAGCCTTGGTGTCATTCTGGACAGCACACAGTCATTTCAGTCCCTCCATCAACCACATCACTCCAGTCCTCCAGCAGCTCCACTGGCTTCACGTTTTCTTCCCAAATCAATTCAAGATTCTGTGACTTACCTTTAAATCAATTCATAATCTGGCCCCCACCTACCTCCATGATCTCCTCCATACCACGACACACTCCTCCTCTCTGTCCCCTCTGTTCACCTCGCCGTCATGGGAGGCACAGCATTCTGTCAGTCACTCTGCTCCTCGGCTTTGGAACTCACTCCCACCATTCATATCCAGACTCAAAACCCATTTATTTAAACTAGCCTACCAACATAAATGTCCTGATGTTTTAGAACCTGTCCTGTAATGTTTGATTGTTTTAATTATGCGTCTTGATTGCTGTTTGTACGGTGTTATTGAATGCCCAGAAAGGTGCCTTTAATAAAATAAATATATATATATATATATATATATATATATATATATATATATATATATAATTCTTATTCTTCCAGAATAATCGACAGTTTCGATGCGATGACCCCCACGCCTGACAACCAGCCTGCGTCTCCACCAGGGCCCGCCAGAGAGCACATCACCCAGTACCTCCTGTCACTGCAGTCGAGCTGTCAGCCACAGCTCCCCTGCCCTTCGGGTTCGCACCAGGGGCTGAACCAGGGGCCCGAGCACGACGTGGACTCTGTGATTAGCGACTGGAGCAGCCAGTCAGATTCCAGCTTCAACACGCGAGACGAGGCTGTGTTCAGGGACGGGCTGGCCGCTCTGGACGCCAGCATCGCCAGTCTACAGCAGACACTCAAAATGGACCTGATCAACACATAACAGTGCCACAGACTTTTGATGAAATGTTTTATCCAGATATTTGATATTAATGGTTAAAGGTGCACTGTGGAACTATTGCGGTGAGGGGTCCACTGCCACTGTCCATGAAGATGTTATTGCATTATATAAAGAGTTTCCATGCTTGATACTAAACTTCTCTAACATGCTTTCCTTTTATCATGGGTGTTTTAAAACATACTCCTTTGTGAGCAAGGTCACTTCTCCACAGATGTGACCTTTTAATGCCATACACTGGAATACTCGAGGCAAAATAATCAAATCTCCATGCTGACAAGCAGGTGACAGGCCCTCCTCCAGAAATGTACACAGTGCACATTTTAAAGAGCTATAGTGAATATTGTCAGATTATGGTTTATACATGAGTGTATGATTTAATAAACTTATTGAACTCAACTGATCTGTTTATGTATTTTAAAGGTAATGCACAACTCTGGTATTTTCATGAAGGACACAAACATTAGAAACTAAATCATGTCTGAAGGAGCAGTGCAAGAACAACAAATGTTCAAATCATTTCATATTGTCAACATAAGACTTCATAAAAAGGTTTCTCAAGTAGGAGTAAAAGTATGCTGTTAGAAAACTACTCTGAAAAGTGACATTCCTATGAAAATGTTACTACCCACATCTGCTCTGATACTGGTATGTTAATTCCTTTGTTGTTGATCAGTTGTTAGTTAAAAGCTTTAGTACTGGTCTGAGTGTCTTTGGCAAGTACAATTGTTCCTGAATTGAGTGACCAGACATCTCTATTTACCTGGGACAGTGTTGAGCCCTCTGTCCTGTCCCAGAACATTTAACCAACACCAGTGATTTGTCCCAGTTTTATACAAGAAATTTCCCAAGTGTTCCTATTTTTGACCAATCTGATCCCCGACAACAGTAAAGAGAGGCACAAATTGACATTTGTTCAGGTGAAATACAGAAAAGCTGCTTAAAAATGACAAAAACACACAAGAAAATGTGACTATACTGACTCACATTAGTGTCGAATGCATTTATTACCAACCACCACAAACCGGGGATGTCCCAGTTTTTTATTTTGAAAATCTGGTCACCCCATTTCTGATTCCAAAAATTACTGCATTTTATTACAGTGAGAAATTCTACCACATATGCATTTCCTTGGTGAAAAAAATTCATTTTTTTTTTATTTTTTTTTTTTTTAGAAAGCTTAATACTGAATTGTTTTTATATATAAACTGCTACAAAGTACAGAAATACAAAACTGAAACATAGGCTTACAGGTCTCATCAGAATCTCAACTACCAAACCAGAACTTTCTATTGTCTACAAATACAAATGGCAAATCTAAAACAGTTATCTTCAGTACAATACATCCCTCATGTGCTAAAGCTAAAGCAATAGTGCAAACACATTAATACACATTTTCATTACAATAGTGTTGCAGCAAAAACGTCTTTCATGTAATCCAAAAATTAGTACAAAATATTATAGGTCGACGTATCAAAAGAGACAGCATATTTCAAAAGAAACAACTTTTTCCCCTTGTTGAATTTCCTTTCAAATACAGTACAGTTTGATTTCAAAGTGCTTCACTTGACCAAGTGCTTTTTGGGGGAATTTGATTGAAAAACATTGCATAAATTTAATACATTTTACAACATTCATATGGTCTTAACATTTGAATTTAAAAACTGAATGTATGTTGCTTTTTTGTGATCTTTTTCCATAAATGTATTATAGTGCATTAATCACAATGTCTGAGAACCCTGTGTGTGAATGTAGCAGGTTACTTCAGTGACAGTTTTACTTTCCATTTTCAGTTTGAATTATTCTTTTCTATATCTGGGATTCAAGTATTTCATAGATAGAAGGTCAGTGTGGTTCAACGGGCAGTACAGTTCCCCCAAACCAGAATATCCCTGGTTGGAGTCCCTTTCTAGACATGACGTACATCTTAAAATTAACAGTTTCTAAGTTTTGTAGTTTCTAAGTTTATAATACATTTTCCCTCATATTTTCGTTATATCTTCTTTTAATTTACTAGCTGCTTCAGATCAAATGGGGAATGGTTGAAACAGTCAAAGCTGAAAAAGCTATGCTAAACAAACAACTGTATGCTACAAAAATGTAACCTCAAATAGCGAACAAATCTGAGTGAGCTTTAACAGAAAGACCCTTGCTTATCCTGTGGTCATGTTGTCATAGCAACGTGATCAGGTTGCGTGTAAACAGTGAGCTCCTCCGCCGTGTCTCCGTAGCCGTGGTAGTGTCCATAGAGCAGCTCCGCTCCCTCCCCGCACCCCAGACCCCAGTGCCCCACCCGCTCAGACCCCCAGCTCTCCGGACTGCAGCTCAGGTGCAGGGAGCCGCACCTCTCCGCTCCGTCCTGAGCGGACGTGGAGTCTGAGGAAGGGAGTTTAATATGGCTGTCAGCATGGCGATTAGGTGTGAAGACTGTCGTCTCATCTGTGGATTTATCAGACAGATTTATATAGATTTCTTTATAAGGTGCAGTTTATAAAGTTCACAGTGTCAGTAATATCATATTTTTCACAGACCATCAATTCAATCTCAAGAGAAAACCAAATAACCAATACAGCTTTGTGATCAGTAATGTGCAGTGTTCTTAACAGAGGTGGGGACTTGCAAATCATGACTTGGGCTGGAGTCAGACTTGAGTTAGTATTTTTAGGACTTGAGACTTGACTTGGTAAAACTGACTAAGATGTGGGACTCGACTTGGACTTGAAGGTCAGTGACTTGTTTTCAGGTGTACACAATCTTTAAAAAGTGGGAATGATTGTTTCTTACAATTATTAATGGAAAATAGTCATTCTATATTACTAGGTACAAATAACAACATTGAACTGATTCTCACATCTATATATTTCATAGAAAAGCTTAAACAATGATAGAGCAGCTCACCTGAGAGTAAAGCACAGTCCATGTTACTGTCCTCCGCTCCAGTCTGATGCTGCTGCTCATCTGCAGACCACAGACAGGTCAACAGTGCACTCAAGAAGGTTATTTAGAAATACTTCAGATTACTTTTAACCTTACCATCCACTCTGGCCCTCTTCTCCTGGCTGTGCTCATGTCCATGGAGCATCCTCTTCCTGCTGCCCTGGCCCAGAGCACAGGGGGTGCCGTGGAGCTGCAGCAGGCTGGAGATGAGGTGGAAACAGTCGAGGAAACCCTGAGCCTGAGCCAGGTCGGCCGCAGTCTGTCCACAAGCATTCCTCACACTGGAAAAAATGAAACATGTTAGAATAAAATTTAAGATGTTTTTAAAATTAACTTAATTTTAAATTTTATTTTTTAGAACTGGCATCCCTGGACTTAAAATCTATAATACAATGGCATAAATCTAAAGAAATAACTTATCACTAGATTACATTTAGTTCATAACCTACACTAGTCCTACTCCATCTATTGGTTAAGATGTACTTTGCTGCTCTCTAGTGGTCAATTTTTGTAACTTTAGTCAGTATTTGAGTAACTGCTTTGAGTTAATCATTATTTATGACCTCGTCCTTGGTTTAGTTCCATTTAAGACCTGGTTTAGCCCTAAATTTAAGCCAGATATAGTGGTACTTGGTGTAAAAACCAAGAGAAACACTGCATTTGAGCAAAGAAGGGCTCATCTGAATAAAGTCTTAGCCATGAACAGAATGAACCTAAACCAAAAAATAAAATTGTGGTAACTGATTAGTTATTGTGACTTCTGACAGAACATAAGCTGTGGTCTATGCATGCAGTTGTAAACATGACCGCCCTCACAGTCAGTACCTGGGCCTGTGCCAGATGCAGAAAGTGGAGAAGAGTTAGAGAAGCACCTCCTGTCTCTCTCTGTGGCTACAACCGACAAAATCATGTTCACAACATTAGCTGTACAACATCACAACCAGCACAACATGAGGACAGAGCTGCGATTTCCTATCAAAGACACAAGTTCATGTTATTACTGTTGGCTCAAAAGCTCATAATGGCGATGACTACTAATACAAAGTTTTCATTTTCAATTAATATTTTTTATTTTTAAAACACTAAAACATTTTAAGATTGTTAAGATGTAAATACAGTATGGACTTCAGTTTTGCAATTAACCGAACAATGCCTGAGTTTATGTACATCAGTTAGGTAAATGTCTGACTAAAGTAAAATAAAATATAAAACTAAATAAATGCTTGGGCTGCTTGTATGAAACATGTAAGTGGCCAGTGCAGCTGTTTGCAGCAATTTATCTGTGTACATACTGTGGTTTGGCTCCAGCGATGAGCAGCACCTCTATACACTCCAGACTGCCCGTGCGTGCCGCCTTGTGGATGGGAGCCTCCCCAGTCAGGTCCTAGACACATGAGACAATTCATATTCCAATGAGATTCATTTGGTCTATGTTATTCTATGTTATTAGGTTCTTTTTTCAGACCTAGAGTGTCATTTCAAAAACTAACACTATTAGAAATAACACTCTAGGTCTGAAAAAAAGAACCTAATAACATATGAGACAATTCATGTTTAGCTGGTAATGTGCAATACTTGAAATTACTTTGATTGTTTCAGACTCTAGTAACAACACATAATCATATTGGGTAGGAGCCAGTAATATTATAAGTTTAGATGTCATTTTCAACTAAATAGAATAGTGTTATCTTGGCCAAAAACATTCACAATTGGTAAAATCCTCTGGCCAAGTTGTCCTGATCAAGCCTAGCTCAAGATCTGGCACTGGGTTCCTGGGCGATGTACTACAGCAGCTCACTGCTTCTGACAGATTACCCCAGAGACAATGAAAATGGAGATAATTAATTTTCCTCACAAGGGATTAATAAACTATACTTAACATTACCATAACTTAAATAACTCAAATGCACCAGAGATGTGTGGTTTTACAGACCTGCCTGTTGACGTCTGCTCCGGCCTGGGTGAGCCACACCACACAGTGAGAGTGGCCCCCGAACGCAGCGGTGTGGGTGGGGGTCTGGTCGAAGCGGCTGCTGGCTGTGTTCACCTCACAGCCCATCTGCACCAGGAGGATCACACACTCCAACTGCGGACGAAACACAAGCTTAGAACACATATGCATTTTACTTTTTTAAACCTTACATTTTACAGTATGGTGAAATATTTACAATAACTCATGGAAATGAGTTGTTCAAACATTACAAACCAAACACTGTGATGTCAATATTAACAATAAACAACACTGGTCCCCAAATGTACAGGGTCCCAAAAAAATTTGATGTAATTTCACAGGCCAATAATTTTGGTAATTCTTGTTGAAATAACCTCAAATTTTCACCAAATGTATAAAAACAGATCAGATCAAATTTTCTTCTGTTTTCAGGTTGAGCCATGTCGTTCACTCCCAGTGAGAAGTAATTTTGTGTCTTGCTTGCACACAGTCACCCAAGATTGTGCAGAGTAAGCAGCCTTCCACTCTAGATTTTAGGTACCAAGTCCAAATTTGTTTGCCAGCTGGTGAAGTTTTTCCTGTTGCACTGAAGGCTGCACAGACAGAGTCTTGGATGAGTGTGTGCGAGCAGATTCCAAGATACAAAATGACTTCTCTTTGGGAGTGAAAACAGAACAAAAAAAAATTAAACATTAAATATAATATCTTGATCTGTTTCTATACATTCGGTGAAAATTTTTGATTATTTCAACAAGAACTGTGAAATGATGTCAATTTTTGGGGACACCCTGTATTTACAATAGTTAATGGAAAGGAGTTGTTCAAACATTGCAAACCAAACACTGTGATTTCAATATTATCAATAAACAACACTGACCCCGAATATATTAAACTGACTCATAAACGTATAGCCACAAATGATAAAAGAACAATTAGACCTATAGCGTAAATCATATCAAAACAAGACTGATTTGAATTTATGTCTTCCGGGATCTCCCTCGGCTCTGAAAGCCCATTGGCTGCACTGCAACCAATAAAAGAGCAGTAACCTATTTTTATGAATAAACTTTATTGTACAGTAATAATTTCCATTGTGCAGTAATGTGCCATAAAAAGCAAACCAATACAATGACTAAAACGTCTTTTGGTGACCGCTACTTTCCAATTTAAGAATGAACCAAAATATAGGCTACTTCCGATGTAATTAAGCAGAGCAGACGGGCGGCGTGCTTATTCCCAGACTTTATAATGTGCTTCAACGCGGAGAAAATCAGCGCTCGTTTTTAGATGGTTCGCAAACTCACCTGTCCATAGTGAGCAGCCCAGTGCAGCGGGGTCCATCCGTACCGGCAGTCCTCGGTGCTCAGGTGCCCGGCGGGGTTCGCGTGTTCCGACAGCCGCCGAAGCAAAGCGAGCAACCCGGCTACATCCCCATCCCTGCAGGCGCGGTGGAGAGGGAACCGCTGGGTGAACGCCTCCTCGCTACACAACTCCATCTCTGCCCCCGAAGACATGTTCCAAGTGCAAAAGAAAGTCCAGGTCAACACTGTCCCCCAAACCAAAGTGACCCCCGCACACCTCGAGCATCAAAGCCCGACTGATGGTTCAAGTTTAGCCACAATGAAAGCTTCTCTTAGCCGGTGCGACGCAAAACGCGGAGTGGATGTATCAAAGCGGGAACATGGAGCTCTCGGCTCTGACAAAGGGAGCAGCCAATCCGGGTGGAACGGAGTGGCGGGAGCTAAAGTCCGGCTGGTGTAACGATAAATTCTGCTTCCCTGTCTCTTTGGTTTTGATCATTAGATTTTTTTTGGAGAGTTATTGTGTCAATGTGTTTAAACTAGATAAATGAAAATACCGACTATAATAAATATATATAATTTTCTTTTTGTTAATAGCGTATGGTTGTAAACTTATTACTCCGCTCGGGCCGTTTTAGACTGGAAGGCAGATTTCGATGTAACACCATTGTGCTATATGATTACACCCAGACGCCACAGGTCAAGTTAGATATAAAGCATTTCATTTTTTAGGGTTTTAAATATACGAATTTGAACGAATACGCATGTACACGTTTATATAATATTTTAAGACTACAGGCTTCTTTATCATGTTGGGCGGGAAATCAGTCAACAATGCTGACAAGGTGAGGACAATGTAATAAACATTAGCTATAGGTTCTTGCTCTGTACATTCTTTATACATGTTAATGAATTTAAAAAAATCGATTCCATGAAATCTGTTTAAGCTTCTGATTCTTCTAGTCTAGCATAACAACGTGGTGATTTTGGCTAGCTTCACTGTGCTAAAATTAACTTATTAAATAAAAATGTTAATATTCATTCTGGTTTCGTTACCATGCATTTAACATTAGTTTTGTCATATTTCTTAAAATCATAACATCAATTCTTCTAATCACATCAAGGGACTCACAATTTGGATATAACTTTTGCATTAACTAAACTAATGCACTGGTACAGTGTCTGCAGACCAAAGCATTTGAAAGAGTCATTTGTCTGTGTTTGTCTTGCAGGACAGTTATGTCAGACTGAGGAAGCGTGAGCTGGAGAAACTCACCACAGAGGTGATGCAGCTCAGGGACTTCCTGCCCAAGGTCCTCAACAGGGAGCTCATGGATATGCTTAACAAAGCCAAAGCCATGCAGACAAGTAGAGTTGTCATCACTAGTATTATTATCACCAACATATTTTATAAACTTATAATGTTCTAATGCTCATAATAAAATCCTGCTGTTGGAGTCCCTCACAGTGCTCTGTTTATGCCAGTGTCAGCAGTGAGGGAGCAGATGGCCCAGGAGCAGGAGAGGCTGAGGCAGGACTGTGCTCACCTCCAGAGTCGACTCGAGGCTTCACAGGCCGAGTGTCAGAAAGAGAGAGAGGTCACACAAGCTTTCTTTACCATACCATATGTATTTTTAAGCATGTTGTCATTGCAGTGAACTGCAAAATGGAATATTTTCATTGGTTAAAATTGACTTTTTAAAAGTACAGTTTGTAACGTTGTAGAGGTGGCACATCACCTACATGATAACATGGAAAGAGAAAGTTGAAACCATACTTAATGAACAACATTTCCAATAGCAGAGCGGAGACCAGCAGGAGGAGGCCTTCCTCCATGCGAAATAAGAGTAATGTTTGTGGAGATACACACAGGGGTGAGGAATATGCCAAAAGAATTCATATCATGATTTTCTTAGAGCCAGATCAAAGTTTCGATTTTATCATGATTCATGTTTTTTAAAATTCGTTATACAGTCTTACATAGGTAAAGCTATTTTTATCAAAAGATTACTCAAATAATGTGTCTGCATGTTTTACTATAAGAACTGTATAAATAACTAACTCTGATTTTAAGTGGATTTCCAAACATATAATGCATGTAGACATCAGACGTTTAGGTAATTCAAATGCCTTCTTGTTATTAGCCATATTAGCCAGCATATTCGCAGTACCAGACTATGCACATAAACGTGGTAACTGACTACTTGACCACACAGTTGTTCACGTATGTGCGCGCAGGAGAAGCTGTTGTTGCGTGAACAGTTGTGGCAGAGTGGCACAGAGCTTCAGCAGCAGGCAGACTTCTGCTCCAGCCTGGGTTCGGCATCCTGCTGTCTGCTGTGGAGCTGCTCTGCCAAGGAGGATATCATCACACTATGGCTGTCTGATGTGAGCCCACATAAGTCATGTCTCTTCTGCCTAAAAAGGATTTTAACACAACTCATCAAATACAAAGAATAAAATAGAGGAATTAAACATAAAATTAACCAAAATTAATGCAGAACTATTACTGTCACTTCTTGTTTTGGAGATTGCACTGGAGATTTCTGTCTCCTTTTGAGGTTTCTGTCTCCTTTTGAGGTAATTTTAAATATGCCTGTTTTTTTTTTTGTTTTGTTTTTTTCATTTTAGACAATATAACCTATATTCTAATCTTGTACACCTCCAAACAACAATTATGATACCCATTTTTCATTATATCTTACACAATAGAGCGATCTTGCTATAATTTTAAAACCAACTTAAAAATAAGTTTTAAACATACCTACTTCGGACAACTGCTATTTGTTTTTATGATTAGTTAGGTATTTCTGTGATCCAAATAGTAAACATTTAAACTCTAATGCAATCTAATCTAATCCCTTCTTCTACGTCACTCCCTCAGCATGGGAAGCTCCAGTCCTTTCTATTAGTGGCAGCTCAGACCCTGGAGAGTTTTGTCCGCTCTCTGGATGAAGATGTCAAAGTTCAGACCGAAGACCCCAACTCAAAGGAACACACGTTTGTGCTGTCACTCGCTGGGACCATCACCAGTCAGTATCTATATGTAAACCTGTCACGATATGAAATTTGAAGTGAGATATACTGTATTGGTGAAGAAAAAAATTGACAATAACGATAATACTGAAACTAAATTATACTACTGATACAATAACCCTAAAGCAGGATTATCCGCAAACACAATTCTAAAAACATGAGCTGCAATAAACAAACAGCTGAATTAGACACTTTAGTAGTTAGTTTGTATCTATAATGAGTCAAAAAAGTTATTTATTCAACTCTCTGCAGCTCATATTTGATTGTAGTACAGAAAAATACCAAAAAGTTCTCCACTACTATGAAGAAAATGTACTTATGATAAATCCTGCCTGCCCCCCAAAAAAGATTGTTCCTTATAAACATATATTTAACGATCTGTCGATATAGTAATTGTCATGAAAGGCCTGTCTATATGCTGTTCAATAATATGCAATTGTAAACTAAAGTTGACTGTATTATTTGCATTACAATTCATCAGATGTAGCTGCAAATACCAATGGGCGGGACTTCCTGGCCAACTCTGCTCACGTGCTGTTGGACACTCTGATCCGTCTGTTGGACCTGATGAGACCTGGAGCCTTCCCTAAACTCAAAGTGTATGTACCAAAATATGCAATAAGTCATTTGTGCTTCTGGCTCTCTAAATGATGTGTTCTTTTTATTGTAGTAAAAGTAGTAACCTTGGTAACCTTATGTACAGGCTGATGCTGATGGCTCTGTACAATGTGAGCATCAGTATAGAGGGACTCAAGTACATGATGAAGAACCCCGGGCTGCTGTCTGTCACTCTGAACCTTCTGGAGGGTAAAGAGAACACAAAGCATCATGAGACTGAATTTCTTGTTTTTAAAGCAACAAATGAAACAATGGTACTTAACCAAATATTACATTTTGATTAGCTTTTCTGACTTTTCTAAAATCTTGAAGTTTGAAGTTTTTTTTCATTAGTGCATTTGACTATTCCCCTGACAATTGGTCAATACATCTTTTGAAGAAAAAACACTTATTCTCACCTCTTGATGTCATCTTGTGGTAATTCAGAAATGTTCCTCCATTAAAGACCATTAACTTAACTAGACTCATTTTCATCAGGCCTTTTGTACCGTAATAGAGCTATATAAATGAAAAGTGCACTTCTGGTATGGGGTTCGCCAAGTGCTTGTATCTGTGGAGATGATATTGCTTTGCCCAGAATGTCCCACAGTATGACATTAAACTTATCATGCATTAAATCGATTACAGGTCTTTATATAGCTCAAAAATACATCGAAAAATATAGAGCACATTCTTATTGTGAGTAGGATTGCTTCTCCACAGATCTGACCTGTAACCTCTCCTTATCACCTGCTTGTTCCCTTTTAGATAGATACTTTTCAAGTCAGCAATTCTCTGTCCAGAGCCAACAGTTAATTTTAGTTATAATAATACCAATCTGTTGAAGCCAGTGTACTTTTGCTCTGTCATACTGCCCTCCGGTGGTGCAGATAGGGACTGGGAGGTGTGCCTACACTCTCTGCGCCTGCTCCAGTCCCTGGTTCTGGAGGACGAGGCTCTGCTGGTGCTGGGCCCGGCCGTGGTGGACCCAGAGCTGGAGATGCGAGTGAGGAAGCTGACATCCAGCGGGCAGGCCTGTGTGAGAGAGGCCGCACAGCAGACCCTGGAGGACCTGCAGGCTGCCTTTAAAGTACACACATCAAATATTATTATGTATCAGGCCTAGGGGTGGGCGATATATCGATATTTTAAATGTATCGAGATAGTTTTTAAACTCGATATGAATTCTGACATATCGTATATATCGATATAATGCTTATATTCAATTTTGATTTCACCGCTTCACTTGTTTGTCTCATCTCTCGTTGCCTCTGCGCGCCCCCGCCTCCCTGATTTTGTTCGTTCGTGTCTCCTTCACTCGTCACTACCGCCGTGAACGCCGAAAGTTGGTGCCAGTGAAAAGCTTCAAGCACCACGAACCTTTTCCACCATTTACAGACAAAACCATCAGCAGCACATCCTCATATTCCACTGAGTCGCGTCCTTTAGCCCGAAAGAAGCTAAAGGAGTTGAGCTGCAGGAGAAGTGCTGTTTATGCAAATGAGCCATGCGCTTAAGTTTCGTTTCTGTAAAATGTAAACACACGTGCGCAGATCTGCATTAAACACATTATTATCGCAAACGGGCTGATGTGGCTCTGCAGTCGTTATGCTTTATATATTGTAAAGTTTAGCAATGTAAAGTGTATTTAAGCAGAAGATTTTAATTAATAATCTGCTGCAGTGTCACTTGTACAATAGTGTTTGGAAACGTTGGGTTTGATCTGC